GTTGCCGGGCGGGTGTCAGGCAGCGCGCGGAGGGGGAGCTGTCCCTTATCCTAGGCAGGGCGCCTGGATTGAGAGCCTGTTCTGAAGATTCAATAGAGTATGGCCTTCCTGGGTGAGAAGGCTCGTGTGAAGTGAATCCTTATGATATGGAATGCGAGAGTGTACAGAGATACAGAGGTTGGTGGGAGAATCCTGCTAAGCGAGCGATGATCACGTGACTTTATCACCGTGTTTTCTATCCGTATGTGATCAGCACCTACTGGACAACCCTTTTCTCCCTCCCCAAATGCAGCCTCCTCTTCCACTTCGCGCGACTCTTTCGCATCGCCCTCTGCGTTCTCTCCCAGGGATAGTTTACAGGCGATTCGCCCCCAGTGAATATCATAAAATCGTACAGGAACGCTCCAATGAACGAACCGGTCAAGGATCCCGCCCACGGTCCGTAGAACCAATACGGATTCGTGAACAGATCTCCCCCATACCCCAGCGCCAACAATGCCAACCGCGGCCCAAAGTCTCGACTTGGGTTGAAAGCCGCGCCTGTCTGATATGAGAATGTCATGCTGAGACATGCAACGACGAAGCCTATGATGAGCGAGTTCATGCCTGCTCCGGGAGGAGCATTCTGGTCATCTCCCAGTGCTAGGACAGTCACGGTCAGACACAGCGTTCCGAGGAACTCGTTGAAGAAGGCAGTCGCGGGACCGATCCATGTTTCTCGCTGGCTGGTGATGAAGCTGTTGATAATATCGGTGGGTGCATTCGTGGATAAATAATGCTGGATGGAGTGGTAGTACAGCCCGTACACCGACAGCGCAGCGATGAAGGCGCCCAGGTACTGCGCCGCAAAGTAAGCGGGCATCTTCCGCTTGGGGAATCCGCGGTAGAACCACAGCATCACCGTGATGGTTGGGTTGAGATGCGCCCCGGACACACCACCGGAAATGTAGATGGCCATCATGGCAGAGAACCCCCACGCCCAGGCAGTGGTGTTGGGATTCCCTGCGCCGGCCAGTGTGACAGACAGATCCGCGGACAGACCGACGGTGAGCTGGACGAAGACCGCCAGTGCCTCGGCCAGCTCCTCGCGGTGGTGCGTGCGGATGACGGACCAGGTCGTGTGGTTATTGTGAACTTCCTCCTCGACAAGATCCTGGACGAGCGGGTGCAGGTCATCCGGGTACGCTGCCTCCTCAAGCGTAGGGAAGACGCTCACCTCATCCTTGTCTTCGTGATCGTGGTCGTGATCGACTAAATGCGGCTCGAGCTCCTCCGGCACTGGCTGCAGAGGTTCAGCGCTGAGCTCCTGCTGTGGCTGTGGAGACTGCAGCTGGGTCTGAACTTCGGGCTGCGTGTCCGCGGGGTGCTCACCTTCCTGTACGGTCGATAACTGGTCCACAGGGGGCTCCACGTTAGAGGGGCGGCGTATACGAGAGGATGAAGTACGGGATAACCGCCGCGTTGACACCGCGTCCCCGGTCAGTATCTTATTGACGAAGTTGTTCTCGCGCTGCACCCGCGCATCCTCCACCTGCGCGGCCATCTTGCGCGGATCAGCGCTCTTATCGATCTGGCCCGCCTCAAGGTCATTGGGATCAACGTCCAGCCCAAGCCTCTGCGAGTTCTCCGCCGGCAACTGGGCGTTCGCCCGCGCCTCCAGTAACTCCTCCTTGGTGGGAACCATGCCTGGCCGCACCACTCGCGGCAGGGGCTTCGCTAAACTCCATACCGGCTTGGCGTTGGCGGGTTGCTCGTAGGCAGGGTTGAGCTCTGTGTATCCGGGATGCACGAATGGTTCGTGAGCCAGTCTAAGCTGAGGTGTTTCATCTGGACCGGCCAATGTGAATCTTCCTTGTGTTCGCTGCGCCAGCGTGGTGCGGGATGTGAGACTGGGTATTCCGCTACGTCGAGTCGCTGCCGTGCTTCGTCGCCGGATGCCAGAACCGGCTGCCCCTGATGCTTCCGGACCCTCCAGGCCAGAGGCTCGTCTTGTGGGTGAGACGAATTCGGCGCGACCGGCAGCTGGGATGCTTCTGGTGGGTGAGGCGGCTGCCTCTCCCGGATCTCCTAGTCGTCGTGCTGCTTCGGACTATCCAGGTGTCAGTCCCCGCATTGTGTTTCGCCAATGAGTCCGTTTGGTTGACGTACCTTCGCCCGCGGGCGTCTGGGAGATCTTTCGTCCATATTGTGCACTCCCTCTAATCAATTCCACGATGTACGCCAGTATGAGTATCGAATTTGATATATTGGAGAGGTAGTAAATAGACAGCAACAATATTGACTGAGGGAGGGAATTGACTTCGTCCACCCACTGGCACCTCGGTTAACCAACGCAGCATCCGGATGACAGGCAACTTGCGCAATCCCATTGATCACCGGCTACTTGGTACCTTAAAGGTGAAAGATCGACCCCATCTCTTGTTTGGCGCGAATTGTGGGCTCATGGCGTAATGGGTGGAGCCTCAACTGGGTCCTCCGCAGCAGATCAGTCAATTAGCATGGAATATGGTTGATTCCCCTGGCGTGTCGATCCAACTGGGTAAACTATCAACAGCGAACTGTGTTATTATAGCGCTTTGTTGACCCACATTGACATCACAATGGATATTGTTGTCCATTCGGTGTTGCGAATCCTGCTTTGTTGGTGGGCCGCCCAAGTCGCAAATTTTGTATGTTCCTGATGTGCCAAGTGTGGTCATCCAACGATAAATCAGCAACAAATTCTGTTTATTCTCCACCAGTGTTATTAATGCATCTCAGCGGATTGAAATTGAAAAAAATGTGATTGAAGAACTGATGCCATTGGATAGCCCCATGACTGATGTCATACTCATTCTGTCCAGCCCAAGCATTCATGAGAACATGGACATTTGACAGAGACCTATTCAAGCACTTCATCATGCATCGTCTGGCGTTTCTTAACCCCCGCAGTGACTGGAGGAGATCTCGAAGCCAATGCAGTCCCTTGTCCCTCTATTCCACACTTCTCCCTGGGCCTTCGATGCATCCAGCAGCAGATAACACACTCCAGTATCATGAATAATAAACGAAGCATGCTACAATGTCAGCCAAATCCCTAATCCAATCGAGGAAACATACACAACGGCTATCGTCAACGGCAATGTCAGGTCCAAACTGCTCCTCCACGGACGCGGATAATCAGCAGGCGATCGGACAGAGACCAGTCGCTGAATACCACCTGATAACACCCAATGGATCCCAGAACAATCGATGCGATGCTACTGAGAATTAGCCAGCCCACTTGAAGCCGCTTGAGTGTAAATGAGGCGTCCAGAAGACCGCTGATTTCAATCACGTCGATGACTATCGCGGTGGATGTCTGCTAAGTCAGATACGCCCTCAATTGAAGCCTTGATCGCTTACCGAGAAGATAGCAACATAGAATGTGTGTCCCTCGCTCCAGAGAGTTGCAAGGCATAGCAGGTAATAGAGACATGCTATGCTGAGCGCCAGGCCACCCAGTTTCATGGCCAGGTGAATGAAGGCCAGGACTTGTGGGACTCGGGATCGAGGCATATCCAGGAACTTCGCAGTGGATCTCACATATCAACGAATATAATCGAATTCCCATGTTCTTCATGTCCGGGGATCGGTGGGATTTTGTGTCCCAGGCCTCTGCACTGCGCATGGGCTACATGGCTGTGGCTTAGACTTGAGCTACAGGCTCTTGTACCTTGTCCATCATATTCTAATGAAATCGCAGCTGATTTTGAAGCAGCTATGTTCTACGATTTCGCTAACGAAGCCTTTAGCGATACCAATATGAGTCTGCTTGATTATAGGCTGCGCACATCATTGCCAAGGCTGACGGTAGATTCTTTGAGCCAACAGCAGTTATTTTGATCCCCTGGCGCGGACTATATCTGTATTAGGGATCGTTCTGCAAGTCAGGAGGATATCAAGACCCGGAATCCTGTTTATTCTTTGGCCTTTTCAAAGAAACCATTTTATGGTAAAATATGCAATGGTAAGCGCATTACTCTTTACACCGAATCGTACACGACACCAATGGCTAGCACGCTGCATGTCTCATTTATCCAGTGCTATATAACATATCGACTTGCATTGATTCAGCCAGGCAGTCACATTAGATGTTGACTAGGACTAAATCTAGAGCACCGGGCTTTAACTACTCAGCATAGCATGGGGGACTCAGATGATCAAAGAATATGCCACCCGAAAGACTGTAGGGATGAAATCCCAGCCGTGACCCTTTCCAAACACAGAAGAAGCTTGTCTCATGGAGGCCAAGGCTAATGATCTACAGGTTGTACCCAGTTGGTCAGTCATACTTCTATCTCATGGAAGTGCAAGCAGGAATGGTCGGTGTGCAGATCCTACAGTGACATAGATGTGGTTTTCGTGCTTTTCCGCGACTGAAATGTTAACGTCTAGAAGTTACAATATGTCTACTGAAGGATCATCATGGCCTCGACGTGCTAGATATTGTGCAAATTGTCTCTGGTGTCTTGTTAGATGTCGCAAGTCGTCTTCGACTCGCTCAGTGTTCGTGTAGTAAAATCATCAGTCCAGGACCTGATAAGGCCAGTTGTCTAAGGCTACGATAGGCTCATTTCATTGAAACATAACTTCATCTTAATCATGATACTCCTGACATTTCCCGACGATGGACGATACAAGGCTTGGTCACAGCCTAAGCCCGAGCATCCCCATCGACATGGCGATCCGATCCATCCAGTCGTCATGGGTATCTGGGCTAATATTGAACGTGCGCTGGAGGAATTCTGGGTCGAACTGGACCTGCCATGAGGCTGACTCTTGTTCCATGGCGGCCCAGGGGTTGGAAGCGCACGCTGCTGCATAGTCGAGGTTAAGGATATGCCCGTTCAATTGTCGACGACGGGAATCGGCTTCGATCAGTGTCAGAAGCTGATCGAGAAGAGCAATTCCAGAACGCATCCCATGCAAAGACGACTGCGCAAAGGAATCAACAAAATTCCACGGAATGGGCCCGGTGAAACTGGTTTCGTCCTTTCGCTTCACGACGCCGATTTCCAGCTTGCAACGCATGTCGGACAAGACATGCCTGCTGTTTGTGATGGCTTTTATCAATGTCTCGCGTGTTGAAGCTATATGTGATGTGTGTGCGAGCCCGTGCGTGAGCAAGCTTTTTGTCTCGACCAAGCGAGCAGGACAAGAGGCTACTTCAATAAACGCTCGATCCACAATAAGACCAAGCTCACTCTTTGTAGACGCCTGGCTCTCCGCATCCGCAAGTTCCGTCATCAGCGCCCTCCATTCCGGATCGCCGAGGAAACACTTTTCCCCGCGGACGAACGCGTCAGCAACAAGGAACGATCGACATGACTTCAGCAGCGTAGTCCCAAATCCTCCACGGTGGGCATCAGGTCCACGAAGTTGGATTAGCGTTGAGACACCGCGCGAATGGGATAGCCATGCAGCCTGGCCTGTGCCGTCCGCCATCTCATAGATCGTCAACAAAATCGCAGCGGCCAATGTCTCGTCATCTTTTGAGAACTTGGGGTGAACAATCAAACCGGCCAGATACCCCAGAGCACGACTGTACATGTGTCTACTGCAGGTGAGCTTATCCCGGTCCTTGTTCACCTTCCCCACAAAGAAGGTGGCAACGCTACGAAAGGCCCAGAGCAGCGCCTGGGACACCGTTGCCGTCGTGGACATCGGCCGACGACGCGCATAGTCGATCCAGTTGACCTCCACGCGGGCGCCACACGAAGCAAACTGCGCCGGAAAGCTTGTCAGAAGGAACGTGCAGAAGACCTCCCGTTGCTGCAAGTCTAATGCAACGCCTGCCAGGTTAGGCTCCACGCGTTCGTCTATGGTGCCTTTTCTTGCGCCAAAGGTCGTGATTTGATCGGTCCGGGTTCCGGGGTGTGGGGGTTGCGTCTCTTGCAAGGGGGCTTGGCCCTGTGGAGCCTGGCTTCTCCTCTGTGCTTTTCGGGATTTGGAGCTTGTTTCATCGCAGAACTTCCATCGCTTCTCGTACCCGGGGCAATCCTGGCCTCTCTTCTGACATCGTAGGCATTGTGGCTCTGTGAGATCGCACTGATCCTCATTGTTAGAACTCCATCTGTTGACTTTATCCCACGGGGAACTGCAAACGTGGCCAGTCAGGGGGCGGATAAAAAAGCGCTAACCTTGACCCGTCGCTGTAAACAAGTCCGGCAGCCGTTGCTGCGAGGTACCCCGACCATTGTATGAAGTGTCTCGCAACCTCTGGTACGAGCAAGCCCTAGACCGTGAACAGTCTGATGTCCAAATCGTCTGCTGCAGCAGTGCGTTTGTGTTGGATGAGGTTCCCCTGAAGAGGAAACATGCGGAGAATACGAAGGCGGTTGACTGTTGACCCTTTCCGATTTGCTCTTTGAACCCCCACTTTGCCTGAAATCCCTGAATTCTGTTGGTGGATCGTGAGGTTGAATACGAGGTGCATCATTAACTCCAAGTGGACCAGAGCTACAGGCCATGACAGTTTCGCTCAACTTAAAGGCATCATGATCCAGTGATTCTACTAAGATAAGACATAAGGAAAAACCGAGAAACCTTATTCAATACATGGGGTAGTCATGGTTCTCATATTAAAGGCATCAATGTTTCCACTTTCGTCCTCGGCTGAGTAGGCTTGCGTATTTTCGTTACTTTTGGTGAGGTCCTGTTCTGAGACGTTGTTGACCATAATTTGCGAGAGCAACTCAGCGCCGTCCGGGGGGAGAACTAGCGGGAATGGTCTAAAAAACCGAGGGGGTATTAGAGAATCTCATAAAAAGAGAGGAAAGTATAGGTATTCTTACCGCGTTGGTCTTCTTGCCCGTGTGGCATCGTGGCGCCATAGACCCGTAGTATTAAGGGACGTCCAAGACTAAGGAAACTTGATGCTTTCCATTTCAAACCGAGATGTAGTAATACCTTGTCCCTGTGACCCAAAAGGTTCGCTCTCCGAGGGCGTAACCGCGGAAAAACGAAGAAGAATGCTCGGGAAAAGTGAGATTCAATTGGGAATAATAGGCATCACCTACTTCAGACGTTCTTCGATGTCGCCATTATGGGCGTCGGCGCTCTGCTTCCTGTGTTTCCAACGGGCTTCCCACTCTGCTTGGCACTGGGCTTGGGGATTGGATTGGGTACTTCTAGGAAAAGCCGAGAAATAAGTGCTCGACTATTTCAAATTCTTTCACTCTTCCGGGAGACATGCCCTCTCACCCGCTTGTGAGCACCAGATGAAAATGACGTGGAAGGTACGGTTTGACAGTATGAGAGAATCAATCGAATCAACAAACAAAGCACGATGGAACTGACGAGAACGATGTATTTAATCTGGTCTATCTCAGTGGCTTAATGATCTAAGTTATGTGGTGGCGCTAGAATATAGGAAGTAGAAGGCAGAAGTCACATACTAGATCATGTGCTTCGAGGTCAATCTGGGCCTAACAGTAATGGGGGGGGTAAAGGGTCGTCCTTGACCTGCTGATTTCAATAGGGATGACTAGATGAAAGCAAATGACCATCAACCTAATGGAAACAACCTTAAAATAACTTGAATGCAGAGGATGATTAATCTAGTAAAGCAGCGCTCAGAGTACTGAAAGCTATAGCATGTTAATAAGTACAACAAAAATAACAACCAGTGGCCCAAAAGGTGTACAGTTAGAAAAGCATTTCTTATAGGTGGGCTAGGTGGTTTAAACGCTCGACCTCCTGCTGGATGTATTTCTGGAGTTCTAGAAGTTGGTCATAAGCCCACCTTTTAGACTCATGGTATGGGACAGTCTGCTAGTCAGCATTATACCAGATGCATGTGAATACTGAGGCAAATTGTGCAACTTAAAACCCAGTCCGATGGACAAAGTCACTGGACACAGTCTCGGTCCCACCAGTTCTAGGATGCTCTGAGAGGTCGACTGAGTGGGTCTTGACATTAGCTCCACCAGCTCCGGGATGTTTTGATGCGTTGGTCGCGGCTGGATCAGGTCCTGTCAAGTTAATGGCCTCTTTCCTCTGTTTGCCATTCTGATGGAGCTATTTGAAAGTTTCAACTCCCTAATTCTTAGTGGCTCCCTTTACTTTAAGGTAGTTGAACGCCCATTATGCCAGTGCAATGGGGTCTGAAGCTGCGATATCGCCAAATAGGTTTGTTTGGTCAATTGACACTGAGCCTTTGGCATGCTTGCGTTATGATAAAGTCTGTCGGCCGTAGGTTCCCCCGTCGATGCCGAGGTTTGTTAGGTGTAGCCTGACTGTGCCAAACCGGTCGGCTGGTCCTTCGAAGAACGCTAGCAAGCCTCATCAGTGCGGCCGCGTCAAGGCGAATGTCGGGTTGACCTGGTCCTGGAGCTCGATTGCCATGTATCGGGCAGTAGGGCCTGCCCGCACACATGGACAGCATATGGGGAAGTCTGCAGCGCTCAGGGCCTCATCATCAGGCTCTTGATCATCGGGTAAGAGATGTTTGCCGTTGTTAGCTGCCTGTGACTTCTCCACAGCCTGCCTGGCTACGCGCACCCAGCGGCTAATAATACACAATGCAATGGCGGTAGTGGTCTATGCCAGGTAAAAAAGCCCGGATTAGTATTCACATGTATCTCAATGATGCCTGGACGGCGGCGAGCCTGCTTACCTTGCCTAAGCCCATGTCATCTGCGAGATATCCTCCATTCTGGGCTCTCTCGGTAGTCAGCATCCAGCATACCGCGAAGGCCTGGTGAAGTCTTAGTGGACGACGCAGCCCATATCCTGATTGTATGATGAGGACGTTTCCCGAAGTCGCCTGTGAGCTTATAGAACCTCTGGCAGTCCTCTCCCATTCGAAGAACGCTAGCAAGCCTCATCAGTGCGGCCGCGTCGAGGCGAAAGTTGGGTTGCCATGCTTCTGGAGCTCGATCGAACAAAGCCTCCCAACGAAGATGAATGGGGACACTTCGGTGTAATGGTAGCTGTCTGTGCTATGAACGCGTGACCCCATTTCAAACGCGTCGTCGTTGTCTCCATGCCATCTACCATTTTCGATACGCGTATGACGTTTGGAATAGACAAATGAGCGAATCTGCGATGCCAGGTCATCGGGTTTGGTAATCGCCATTTCCACTTCGTCAAGATTCGCCTCAGTTACATCATTTACGATGCACTCGGGATGGTTTTCGACCAGGAAATTAGGCAGCTGGTTTGCTGGCTGCTGGAGTCCTACGGGTGTCATAGGGGATACTGTCGAGTTTTCAAACCCCCCTCTCACCCCGATGGAGCTTGGTCAACGACTCCATAACATCGATTTCGATCACAAGCGTAGGGCACTCTTTGGGCTGACCTCCTGAGCCCTATGTGGACGGTGGGAGAAACAGTCGTCTGTTTCTTTGTTGCTGTTTGCCACCACAGTTGGTCCGTAAGTTGTAGCAGAGTCATGTGGAAGGCCAGTGCTCCCTTCGAACATAGACCGAAAATCAATTCCGTCCAACGCATTCCTATGCTCATCATGTCGAATGCGGATTGCTGTGGGAGACTGAGGATGAGGATGTATTGGTTGCCCGCGTCTCGTTCTGGTTCAGTTGGTCAAGGACTCTCTGCGCGTCGATTTTGAGTCTTTTAAGGTTGCTAAAGGGATGAGTGATGTAATTGTCTGGGAGTCCTGACGTGATATCTGATGGCTCCATAATCGTAGACTGCGCTACTGAGTCGTGATTTCTGACCCTGTATCTTGGGCTTCACTGAAAATGGACGCCATCTTAGCATGGAATCAACAATCTCAAAGACGTAAAAAGAAAGGGCGGCTTGAAGGAGAAAAAGAAGGAGGACTGAAAGTATTTATGCTAAGAGTCCCAGCAGTTATGTGAGTCATTCTTATATTTCTATTCACTATTATATCCTTGAAGAACAAGTTCAGTGAATATAAGCTATAGATGAGATCAGGGGCAGTGAATGGTCATAAGTTACACCTGTGAAGTGAAGAAAGATAATGCACTAAGGCAAGTCATATCATAGTGGTAAGGTAAGTTTAGGAATAGCTTTTCAAAACCATGGGTGGAAATGAGATGTAGTCACTGTAGTGTCACGGAGCTTACACTTCTAATGACCCCTAGATATGCAGTAATTTCTTCAGCCATTTCCTCTAGGTGAACTATAGATGATGATGGGTTCTCTGATACAATTATCAAACCTAATATCTGGCCTCATAAACGATTGCATAATGTGCACCTTCACTAGTTTCGAGGCTCTAAAAGATGACGCGCGGGATATCTTCAACAAGCTCGAGCAAGACGACGCGAACCAGCTCATTCTCATCTATAATCTACCGAAGCCCATTCGCGAGCGGCTAGACAATGATGACAGGAACGTGTTGGATGCAATTCCATTTCGATTCATGTTCGAGGGGGCATCGGTTTGATTATGATTATTCCAAATTTCTACCATGGCGCTGTACCCAGCCGACTCAGCAGCACTATCTTATTCGCAAGCGAGGACGCTGGTGCGTCGAGAGATGAAATGATATGGGCCAGGAACACAACCTTTCTTACGGGCGACAAGGGTAAACAGCCCGATGACTGTTTTCTGGGTCCAAGCCGACTACCTCCACGAGGCGAGCCGCCCAACTGGCCTACTCCCGTCATTGAATCCGGCATCTCCGAGTCCAAGCTTCGAGAAGACGCCAAATGGTGGTTTCAGAACTCGCATGGTGCTGTTCGCACTGTGATTACCCTGAATAGTTACCGGACTCGAAAGACTATTATACTGGAGAAATGGCAGCTCAGTCATGCTGGCCAGCCGGTCACAACAGCCATGGCTCAGACGTTGGACAGGTTGATTCCTCCTATGCCTCCACTTGGTCTTCAGAGGCTGGAAATCCAGGTCCCGTTTATCGCACAAGAGGCCGCCATTACTCCTGACGCTACCATCGGGACACTCTATCTTCATTTTCAGGCTTTATTTGATCGAGCTCCTGGACCGACGGAGCGCGACCTCGACATTGATGTCTCACCGCTTATGGACCTGCTCCAAATCTTGTAATGCCATGTCCTCTGCCTCTGGACCGTTGCCCATCTTGATTATGATGACTTGTCCTGCATGTCCTTTGTGAACCGCCGACTTTGAATCTGGGTTTAGCTGGTTGTATTGCTACCTCAAGCCAGGGGAGTAAACAGCATTTGTTCAACGACATTACTAGCTCACAGAAAACGATGTACTAGAGAAGGAGAAAATGAGAACCAAAGGAGATGCTGAAGAAATCGTCGTCGCAGATGATATTCCAATCGTGTAAGTGGTTTGTGAACAGCCATATCTTCCATGCCTATAACTAGACATGCCGCCTTTCCGTTGACCATTGGAAAAGTGCATACAATCCCACCCCGTGAGCCAAATAAAGGTTCGATTCTACACTTGCATGTCCGGCAAACTCTTCCCTTTAAAGCCATTGCTCTCCAGACTTGGATTCCTTCGGTCAGACCATTCGAGACCACTAGCGTCTTCGACACTCCTGTACTCTGTCAGACTTGGTGCTTCGAGGGCTTGCGCCAGCGCTGCGGCATGGTTGAGGATCTTGTAAATCGACGATATAATCTCCACCTGCTGTCCTTTATCCAAGCTCATGAGACAGCCTGAGTACTACACAACAGTCAATTCCTTGTGACGCAAGCTTCGGCGATTGATAGGACGCTCACCCGAGATTGATTGTCGATGCACAAGAAGCGCCACTCGTAGGAGTCGGTGACGATTCCATATACTGTAGTGTCGTTGCAACGAGCCCTCTTCCTTGCATGGTGAAGCATCGCTGGCATAGCTTTATCAGTAGAATTCTCTTGTTCAATCAGTCAACACATACCCATGCAAGACAATGCTTGATAGCGGCCGATTTTCCCTCGTTGCGGTGCAAGGAAAAGTAGCAGATTGGTCTCCTTTTTTTGGTCCCCGTACCAGAGTGTGTAGTCTGTCGTGCCCTCTAACAGATAGGCTTTGTGGTTGTGGGTCCAGGGGAGACTCAAACTCTTCTCAAACTGAATGTGAAGGGACCCGTAAGCAGAGGCGGACTCGCGCTTCTTGCTTGCCAGGACTGCGAAGAAAATTGCTTCGAGACGGGATCTCATATGCGGCTTGCTCTCGCTGTCTTTACCTGCAGCACGCGAGTACCCCGACAAAATCGATCCTATACTAGCGTCAGACCTGAAAATTGGCATCTGGGGGTGCGTCGAGCAGTGGATACAGGTGCCTACCTAAATACTCGGGCCCTTGAATGTTGCCCTGCGTTGTAGACTGCCAGCAAGACTTGAAATTCAGATCTGGCTGCAGGCGTAAGAACCCCCGAACATCTTGGGGTTTTATGTCGGCAATGGAGAGATGTGGTAAATTGTTCTTTTCTGAGGGGACACGCTTTTTACTCTGCCGGATGGCAGTCCTAGAAACTATCGGTACATCGTCGATTTCAGCTTTGCCGTGCAAGGCCGAGGATGCTGAGCCTCTGTGTATTTGATTAAAGTAGTCCATCATTTCGATATTAAGCTCGGTGAAATACGGCAAAGGGAGAGATTTTGTAAATGTTGGGGCAGGATAAGGCTATGGTAAGGTTGAAGTCGAAGACGCAGATGTGATGTCAACGCAGAGGCCCTGCTGCTGCCTACAATACACAATCTGGCTCAAAATGCCTGCAATAATTAAACGCCGTAGACTTCTATTTGAATGTGCTGGAATATATTGGTTACTGTTTAGTTGTTCACTATTTCCTAAATGCTGCAGAAATTCTCTCAGGTCCTCGAGCTGTCACCCCAAAATCATACAGCCAGTCATCTCGCTCACAGTCATTTTCCGTCCATCCATTTGAGCTTCTGATATTACCATCTCGATTGCCTGTTTTACTACTTTGCCAATCTGACTGACAATCTCTTCCTGTTGGCCTTGTGTCCAGTCCAAGTGGAGCGATGAGTACTTTGCGTATCTTTGGTGAGCTTCCTATATCAAGATCGTTGACCGAACACGTACCTGACTCTTGTTGTTGAGGTGCAGGAACGTCCATTTGTAGCTATCTGTACAGATGCCATATATTTCCGCATTCCTCCCGGCAGTTTTTCGAGCGTAGTGGATTATTGCTGTGCAGGTTCGTGTTAATAGGACGATTCCCAAGGAAGCATGCTCTCAATGTGGCACTTACACATAGCTGCAAGAGGCAACCAGCACTCATCCTCCATTAGCACGTCGTTTCGGACAATGATAAAGTTGGTCTCCAGGTCTTGTCGGCTGCCGTACCATAGAGCGTAGTCCACCGTACAGCCCACGGTGTAAGTACAACCCCCAAAGGCGTGTGCCGTGCAGACTCTGTGTCGGAATCCCCAGGATATTGAGTCCAGAACGCTTGACATAAGGGCCGTACTGGATGGAGATCTACCTTTCGGGCTCGTAATCTCGCACCTTTGTCGCACTTGTTTCACCACTGACAAGATTTGGATTAGGATGGACTCCAGTCGAGGGCGGATGAGCTTAGCATTTGGGGACTCAACGCCTAGCGCTAGTTCATAATCATCTAGGAGCATTTCTGGTGCTCATTAGCGATCTGAAATCCTGTTATACACCCATCAAATGCACTCACCGAGAGAGCTAGGCATTTCGAGCTTGTCATCCCGTCCAATATGCCATGTGCTCTTTTTCCTCCACCAGCTGCTTGGAGAAATGGCTGTAGCCCCGAGAAAATCGTCAAGAACCTCGCTCTCGTTGTCTTCTTCAATGTCGGGTTCCGAACGAGAGCCCATCGTTTGCATCGTCTGTGCATTTGACATGTCTCGCCGAAAGCAGATTCTACTAAGTTGGCGTGTTTAGGGATGATGTTTTCAACCAGCCTCTGTTGGGCTCAACATTTATCAATTTACCATCAAAACTCCATTGATGTGTGAGTGAGTGGTCGGAGGCCTAATCGGGCGGCGGCCTTCAAGAAGATTGAAGAGTCTAGAAAGACGTTCCACGGGATTCATGTCCGAGGTCCCTGCATTACTGACATACAGTACCAAATTTTGGTCTGCCTTTGAACCAGAAACCTTCCACACCGAAGTCCTTCCTGACCATCTTGGTCCCCTCCTGCACGGCATATTGACCGCACTGGGTCGGTGTATCCCTGGCATTATTTCCAAAAACAGATAAGGGCGACTACCTTATTGAACCTAGCCTAGCTCTATCCGCCCTAGCGCTTTGAGCTAATTCAGTCCAGCCAATGGGGCTGTTTGCCTGAATATGTATGCGAACTTCTTGGCGTTAGTCCCAATCGGTCGGGGACCCACTGTTGCCTTACGGAATGGATAAAGGGGCATAACAATTAACAACACAGCATATCTTGGCCCCTTCCTGGGCATTATTCGTCAACATGCTAACAACGCGTCGTCTTCTTAATGAGGAAATCACTTTCTCTCTCGCAAAGGAGCGAGAGGTTAATATTCTTCATCAGCTGGATTACCACGACAAACAGACGCGCTTCTTCTCTCTTCTTAATAGTAAACATGCCTGGATGAAAGCTGTTGTTGTCCATCACCTGGGTCTACGATCAACTGCGGTGTGTGAAGTGGCAGAAACGAAAGACTGGCTCTGCGGAAGCTTCAATGTTTCCGTCCCAGTTACAATCCATGACTGGAAAGGAAGGCAACAGCAAGGTCACAGCGTCCTACTCCGGTTCCCTCTTCCACACCGTGTCGGCGAAGGATTCCGACGTGGACATGGAGACGAAAAGACCCAATGCGAGGCTGGTACCTATGCATGGCTTCAAGCAAATTGTCCGAACGTCCCTATTCCTCGATTATACGGCTTTCTGTGTCAACGGGTGAAACTGTACTGAGCCAGATACCTTTGTAACTGATATATCTGCTGACTTTGCTGAAATAGTTCACTCAAATTGAGAACCTGCCTTTCCTGAGCCGTTGCTTCCAACACCTGCGCCGTCGATTATTATCTTGGTTTGGACTCCCGGTGCCCTCATGCTATGCCCGCCATTCGAACAGAACTTCGGCTTCTTTAGAGGGCGTGATCGGCGCCAGATATTTGCTGATAGAGAAACTTGAGGAAACACAAGGCACTATGCTCTCTAACACGTGGTCGCAGAAACAGGATGATACGAAGCTGCGGCAGAACTTTTTCCGGGACCTTTCCCGGATCTTGCTGAGTATCAGCCGAATACCTTTACCGCGGATTGGCTCCTTCATCATAGACAGTGAAGGATTCCTGCGTCTGAGCAACCGCCCACTTTCTATTGAGATTGAAGGCTTGGAAAATGAGCAAATCACAATAGATATGCCCCTTCACTACACGTATTGCACCGTTGACTCTTACGTGGCGGACATTCTAAGAGTCCATGACAGTCGACTCCGAGACCAACCCAACGCAGTGAATAACTTACAGGACTGCGCCTATCAAATGTCGGCTCTGGCAGCAATGCGAACTTTGGCCCCGTTATTCTTGCGCCAGGATCTTCGCCGCGGGCCGTTTGTCTTCACACTAACCGATCTGCATCAAAGCAATATCTTCGTCGATGAGAATTGGCATATCACATGTCTCGTGGATCTGGAATGGGCATGCTCTCGCCCATTCGAAATGGTTGAGCCTCCTTACTGGCTAACAAATAAAGGCGTGGACGAGATCAATCCCGCAGACTACGACCCGCTTCGCAGAGAACTGATGAGCATCTTAGCGACGGAGGAGACGAAACTACTCGGTTGCGTTGCCTCACCGGATACTGACAGAACGGTGCCACGGCTGTCAGAAGTCATGGAAGAAGCTTGGACGAGAGGTACGTTCTGGTATACACTGGCTCTCTCTAGTCCGACGGGCCTCTTCAGAATATTTTATGAGCATATCCAGCCCTTGTTATCCGAGCATTGTTCGGAGGAACTGGGTGAGATTATGCCCTTTTACTGGGTGAGAGATGTGGGAAAGTTTGTTGCAAGAAAGATCTCCGATAAGAAGAAGTATGATCATGATTTGCAACGGGCTTTTGAGGAGAGTTGACCGGACAATGTGCTAGTTAGTGGTGCCTCTCTAATGATCGGCTTCATGAGATGTCCGATCGGGTAAGGTTAATGCGTCTCTCTGTAGCAGACAGACGGAATCCTCTGATTTGCTTAATGAGCGAGGCACTCTGATTATGATGAAAGTGCGGCCCATCATCATCCATCATGCTGGTATAGTTTCAATTCATGCAGTTTTGGATTGCATGGAAAATTGACAGCGGTATAGTAGACCGCTTGCATCTTGCCCATGTCATGCGTCTGTCCGCGAAAGACTGCTCCCTATGAGATACCCCACAGAGGAAAATACGCAAGTTCACCAGCATTATGCCCAATAAGGATCTCTTTCCTGGTTGCTGGCGTTCTTCTTGAAGAGTATGACTGGTTGTTCAGCCTAGCCAGACAACGCCACTGATTAAGAACAGGCAGCAACTGTAGGCGCTCATGCGAGGTCTTTGTTTTCTGAGGAGGGTCTGCTTTGGCACCTCTGGATTGAATTTCTCGCTCAGGGCCTGGTCAGCAAGTAATTGTTTTGACTCAGTTATTGTCCTTCTCAGTTATTGTCCTTCGACACACGAAAAGTTGTCGACCCTAAACAAGCTCTTTACAAATGTGGTTGAGCCATACCATAATCCTTCTTGACCATAGTCATCTCCTGCATTGGCATATTGATCATGCTCAATGGCTCCATCCATAAATCCCCTCTAACCATCCGCCCTGGAGGTTTTTGAAGCTCTTCTAGATATTTAGAGGCACGATCTGGGCCTAGGAAGCCCATGTACCCTTTGCATGCAGGTCATCAATTTATTGTGGGTTGCATAAGTCTCGACATTGTCCTTAGGATCCTGGTACCTTCAATGACATGCTTGCTGTCTTTTTTGTCGGTCAAATAGCCATTATAGCGCTGCAAGATGTGAGCCTTGCCTCTAATTGACCAGTGCATTTTGAAAAAACAGAGCTGTCTTGCTCACCTCTGGTTGAATGGAGTATTGTTCTCTGCAGTCAGCTTGGCCTTTTGGTTTAGTCAGTCTGAATGCAATTTTCATCCGCATTAGGACCTAGTGTACTCGGCTCTTTCCATTGGGCATTTGTGCAGACGTTTTAGGCGCTCGTGCTGCCAATGATTGGCCTTCCTTTGCTATAAGGCCATGATAAGGTAGTCATTTACGTGGTGAATTGCTTCGGCGACCTGGTGAGCTTTGCTTGCGAGCTATATGATGATGACTAGCAATCAGCAGTATCTACTAGGTTTATGCTCACTTGGTTATATAAATATATAGAATATAGATCGTGATTTAATAGAGGTAGTGGTAGTAGATATATCTGTAGCAAATAGTGAAAGTGTGAAATGGACTGCGTGCATAAATAGTCTGCTGTACCCAATCTCAGCCTAAACTGCACAAAAAAAGATGTGCGCCTGCACGGTTTGCGAAACAAACACCATCTAACACATCAGCTTCTTCTAGAAATTTCATCAGCCAGGTCCCTCAAATGGACGAACACTCTCATTTGTACGAAGAGATCCATGATCTAACGACGCTCATCTCCTTGATTTTCAAGAGACCTCCATATCTTGAAGACAACTGCGAATCTCCGAGAGCTTGCGGCGGCGATGTTGTTCGCGACTCATCGCCATTCGACGGCCCTGCAGACGGAGAAAATGAGGGAATAGAGCCAGTGGATGAAACAGGATTCGAAGATGAAATAGCCACAGGCTGGTCGGAGGCATATCTTGCTACCCTGAAGCCAAGCATGTTAGATCGCCTGGCTGAAATGCTGGCCCGATTCAAAACTACCAAAAATGGAAAAGCACGGGGGAAAGCAACAAATTCCGATGCCAAACATGTGACAAGTGTGGCTATGCTGGAAGACCATAATCATGAGCGCGTGGCAATCTTCTGCTCCAAGAACGAAGGTCTTGACGCTGATGATGAACGATTCTTGAAAGGTTTGAGTATACTTTTGAAGAACATCTCAGGAAACAGTATGTGAGGCTTGTCGTGGACGAGTCCCTTGCGATGAGGCTTTTAAATTAATGTTTATATTTATTAAAGCAGGGGATATAGAAGACCATCATCTCGACTCGGTATTCGATATCGTGTTCAATCACCAAGTGCCTCGCGTGAAGTTCTACTCAGCCGTTCTTCAGAGTGCGTTTAATCAGGCTTCTCAAATCACCATGGAAAATACACTGACAGAAGAGGTCATTGAACACAAGTTTCGGCGTCAACTCCAGCCGCGGGAATGGGAAGGTCTCCGCGTCAGCTTTAATACTGACGAGATGGGTGAGACCCCAGCTTCTGAAGAGGCTGTTGACTGGCTCTCGGGCCAGGCAACCAACACAGCCATCGCAGAGGTATTCCAGAAAGCACAACGTCTCTTCGGGAGCACAAACCCAAGTCCTTTCGATTCATGTGGAATGAAGAGTTTCTTGAGGACTCTCTATGCCATCTTACGACACCCGAAGCAGCGACCAGCCTTGAAGAACTCCTTCAGACAGCCATTCCATGGCAACGGAAAGATTTTTCGAAGAGCCTGGGACACCCTGCTCTTCTTGGATCGCATCTTCCACGCCGCAGTAACCTTCGTGGAGTTTGCATCAAACAAGTAGCAGTGTATTCAGGCAGCGAACTCAAAGCTCCGACATTACAACATCAAACCAGTTGCACATCACACTCCTGCTGATATAGGGTGGGGTCCTAACCTAGCGATAACGCCCTGTGTTTCTCGGTTTCTCCTTGACAAACCTTTTATGATACGGAAGTAGTCCTACAGCCTGTAAGAAAGGATATTAGTCAAACCACAAGGCCAAAGACCAACACTACTGCGAGATGCCGGCATCCCGCTAATCCGGACACATATATAGTACAAACGCACTGGATAGATCCCTTACATAGCCATTTCTTCTAAGAAGGTGCCTCTAGACCATGCTAGGTATTTAGATACAAAATTAAGGGTTTGTTTTAATCATCTTTTAGAGTAACTTTAACCATTAGTTAAATGGACCCTATCGTACGGAGTATAACTATGCTTAACTGTGTTGTCGATGGCACAAAAAAAAGAAAAAATGGACTCGCGGGGAATCGAACCCCGGACCACCCCCATGCTAAGGGGGTATTATACCACTAAACCACAAGCCCATTTGTTGATATGCGCATACGAAAAAACGCTTCATGTGATGATTTGCTTATCCCCTTCGAATTACACACTATGCCTTCTAGTAGCTGTAGTGGCTGTGGAGGTATCGGTGGGCTTAGTTTGTGGCAGTGGCTATTATTTGAGATAAAATGTCTATATTTTGTTTAGCGAACAGGCTTTACACCATTGCCATTGCCACTGCTCTGGTCGGAATCCATCGTAGCCTTAACTATCATGTCTTCTGAGGCATAAGCGCTTAGATAATGTGCTGACTCTGAGCCTTGATTTAAGATAAAAGAATTCAGTTATGTGTCGCAGCGCCGGACAAATGAATTTTAGACAAGGACATCTATCTAGCACAGACCTCTTGTCGAAGGCTCGTCTGCTCCTAACAAGCGCCGGCATACTTGGGCGAGCTATACCGCACATCTTCAAGCTCTAGATGCTGGACATTCTTAGCCCCTCCCTCATTCCTAAATGTGAAATATCAATTTCGCAGGTATTTATCCCATGTCTTTGCTGATCTGAGGGTGCGTATGGCACGGATAACAGACTATTGAAAGCCCAGTGACACCAAGAATAGAGATGGCCATTGCAGTCTCTATGTGAATATAACAGCCAGCCCTTGTCTCATATCCATAGTCAGCAATCACACCAATATTGGAAATCGCTATCTGTCAATACACTAAGAAAGGCTGGCGCAGCTGATCTTTCTCTGCCTACCAAGCCACATTGGACCCCATGTGTACAAAGCAGCAAATGAGGTTTAGTTGCAGGTTGCCTTTTTGCCCGCATTTAGACAGACATCATATTCGGACTACCATTGTCTCCCCACTAGGGCTATTGTGGGTGGCTAGTAGCTGACGCTAATGCAGTCAGCAAAAGAGCAAGAACCAGGTCTTCACCCCAGGTCCAAACAAACCCGTGGGACGAGCGTTTAATCTGGACCATGGCTGATTGAGCAATATCACTGGCTATGGCTATCTCCGTCCAGGTCCGCGTACGATCTCTGCCAACTAGTGTGGCTGGCTGGCTGGCCGGGGCCCGGAGACTTCATAGAGTACTATTTGTCTCATGTTTGTTCATTCAACTCTCTTAGTGCCTGATGTCTCCGGGCGTTCCTACCAATCCTTGGATGGGAGAGCCTTTAGTTTGCTTCAGCTACAGAACTGTTATCTTCAGTGCATGTAACCTTCCCCACACACATATGACAGCTCTGGACTTGCATGGGCCCATGCGTTGGTAGGTGTACTTCAGAGGCCGATTCCCCTCAACCAATTATCGGCTAACGCTTTGTCCTGGGCAGCATAGCTTCTGCCGCAAACGTACCACATTGTACCAGTGCATTGAGCTATATGGGGTGGCTGACAGAGTCGGTGCAGAAGCTGTACTTGGGCTAGGGTATACTAAAAAAAGGATCAAAATAACAACGCGAATCTGCAGTGCCAGCCATATAAAGCACAAAGTAGCTAGCTGCCAGCAAGCTTGCTCGATCAGTGTCATAACCACACTTCCCACACTGATAGTAATACCACTTCGCAATGTATCTCTTTCGCCTTGCCCTCGGGGTCGTACTCGTCACCAATGTGATCGCCACCGTGGACCCCCACGCTCAAGTCCCCATCTGCCATCAATGCGAGGAAAAGAAACCCACTCCTCCGATTCCACGATGCGGACATAACAACAACCGTCCAAAGCTACAATCAGGCCAGTGCGCAACAACATACCGGTGCTCCGGCCACTGCGGTTCAGTGGCCATCCCGCATCTCAACACCAAGAGCCTCGAATGCGACTACGCAGAAGTAACTGTAGGACCAGATGGCTCCATCATCGACCAATGCTGCGACCCGCCCGAGTGCCCCAACGGCTGCAACACCAAACCAGAGTCGAACGACGTCTGCGTCAACGATCAAAACGGCTGTCCGGCAATCGACGGCTCGATTCGGCGATTCGGCGGCAAAGACTACATCTACCACTGCAACAAAGGCTTCTGCACCACGACCATCAGCTCGGTCAGCAATACTGATACCCTGAAGGAGTGTGCCGAGAAATGCTCGAGAGATCCGGCCTGCAAGATGGTCTCCTATCACAAGAAAACATGCACCCTTGCTACGACGGTCGGAACGGTGGAAAATGTCCCGGGCTCGGTTGTCCTCGAACCCGTCGGCCAGTCGCCAAACAAACATGACGGCGGCGACTGCGCGCTTCTCCACCACACTCGCCAGACAATCCACGGGATAGAGTTCCAGCTTCACTGCGATACGCGTCTTGCGGACGCGGCGACATGCCATCCGAAACCGGCCTCATCGTATGAAGACTGCGCTGCGCAATGCGCGGCAGACTCCCACTGCGCCAGCGCCACTTTCTCCGCCGGCCATTGCTGTCTATCAGACAAGAAAGCACACCCTTCGAAGCAGACCGCGTCGATCGGCTTGGAGCCGCTTACCGGCTACGGTTGTCCATACGTCGACTGGGCCGTCAAGGAGATCGGCGGCGTACGCTACGAATACCATTGCAACGCCTGGCTGGAATCCGGCGGCAAATGGACCCAGGTCCATGTAGCCAACGAGATGGAGTGCGCGCTACAGTGCTCCAAGAATAGCCACTGTACTGGTATTTCTCTGCGCGGTCAGCAGTGCTATCTGGCTACTGCTCCGATCCACCTCAAGCCGAAGGGTAATTGGGTAGCATTGGTACCGGTGAGCGGTCACAAGAAGCCCGAGGAGCCCAAAAAGCCCAAAGAGGACGGCCTCCAGGTTCCTGAGTGTAGAGCGGCACACGGGCAGGTTGTCAGCTACAAGGGTCACACTTACTCGATTGACTGTTATCGGTGGGTTGGGGGTGATGGGTTCACCACCGCTACCAAACACAGCCTGGCCGATTGTATCAAGATGTGCGCGGATCATGCCAATTGTGTTGCCCTACACTATCTTCCTAGTCAGCAATTCTGTGCCATTCACGACAATATTCCGAGGGTCGGGACCCAGGGAGACTTTGGGGTGGCGTATGTTCGGAGGACTAGTTGATCGGAAGGGGACAATGACAGGGGATGTCGTAGGGAAATGGGGGTGGGTTGATTGAGGGGGAGTTGTCTTAGTCTAGGGACCGAGATGGGTATAGTGGCAACTATGGTTTTCTGCAGCATAGCTAGGAAAGTCAATTTCTTTGATTTATGTTCCCGTTTATACATGATAAAATATCTAGATGTCTGGATATAGGGGGCAACAATAAGCGATGGAACGTGTAATTTAGTAATTAGCCGCGCTATTGAGGGTTTCTTGAACGCTTGGATAAAGTCATCCTGTGAATACAAGGTTATACCTCCTGTTGTCTTCTTTTTCAGTGTTACATCTGAGTTGGGCTTCTTGTTCGACTTTCCCATAACTTTGTAGGTCTGCCCTATCACCTGTGGACTCCAGTTCCGGACATGCCGCCGTTCAGCCAGCCATAAGCAACGCATGGGTTCTCTATCATGCATACTGCATTCAAGGATGCGTCGAGACCCAGGCCTAAGAAACATGAGGAGCTGAATCCACGGAGAAATACGCATGCCCCCTGCACCCGCAGTTACTATTGAAGGGGCATGCGCACCTCGTTCCTTACTTTCCGAACCAGCGGCAAGACACCAGAGGCATCAGCACTAGTGAACTGCAGGCGCTGAACTCGGCTTCAGGTATTCTGGGATGAGACAAACCTGTCTAATACGGCATATGCGAACATCATCGTGGTAAATGGCTTTATCGGGCTGGGTATATATATGAGCCACCCAAATGAAAATGCCCTGCGGTCGGTTGTCAATCACCAGCATTACCTCAATTGCAACCTCTACTCATTACTTCATTTCATCATGGACAATCTTCTTACCTTCAACTTGCGTGTCCCGGTGGGAGTCCAGGTAGTCTCCCATTTGATCAGCGAGAACACTATCATGGAGCAGTTCCTCCTGATCCTAAGCTCCACCCTCGGAGGATGCAAGTACGAGAAGTATCGCAAAGAGATTGAATCATTCACCAATGGCCCCCTTTCCGGCCTTGGTCGCCTCGAGCTCCAGAGCGCTCTGACCCTCTTCGCGGGCAAAGTCGCGGATCAGATTCTTTCGGACTTTGTGCCCGAGTTGGCTGCCCTGACCGGAAAAGTATTCCCTTCTAAAACTCAATCAAAGAGTCTATACACTAACCAAATCCAATCCACCTAACAGAACATCCAAGGTGCCGGCATGCCCGTGATCGATAACATCGGCAGAGTCAGCACCGCGCCGTCCGAAGCCGAGCCTCCCACCGCCGAAGTCGAGACCAAGAAGCAGCTCAACGAGTTCGCGACCAAGAACCTAGCTAGCTTCCCTCAATTCTCCGAGGACAAGATTCAGGAAATTACCAGCCAGGCAGCCACGAACATCCAGGGCATCGCGGCCAAGTCCAACATCCCGGCGGAGGAGATCCCCAAAGCGGCCCAGCTGGCCTTCTACGACTTCACCATTCTTTACGGTCGTCCCCCCACATACCTCAGGCAAATTCTGAACACTACATGTGGGGTGCATAATGCTGACAAATAACAGATGACAGCGGTTCCATGACTACCGAAGAGTCCCGTATCCCGACGACCCAGGAGACCATCAGGGGTCTGTACAAGGCTGCCAAGACGCTCAACCCTGATAATAAGTTCTCAGTCCGCTCGTTCGAGGGGTCGGACTTTGATAATGTGGCTACTGAATCAGATCTAGCGGAAGTCATCTCAGGCATGACCTTTGACACTGGTGCGAACGTTGCCGGACCACTAAGGAACAAGATCCTGGACCCGTTGTCTAAGGCCGCTGCGGAGAAGAAGCTGAACCCGACTGTTGTGGTCATTATTACTGATGGAGATGTATTCCCCCCTTTTCCGTTCTTTTACTTTCCGTACAACTGCGCGATTTACTGACATTCCTCCAGCTCGGTAGCAGCGTACCTGAATTCAGCGCGCAAGTCACCCAGTTCAAGTCCCAGCTTAACAGTGCTAACAACACTGGACCCGCTGTCTTGTTCTGTCTCTGCCGTGTGGGTAACGACCAGTCGGCGGCGCAGTCTCTGAAGGAGTTGAACACGGCTCCAGGCGTCAAGGACTTGATCTTCTACGGCGAGGATCCTATCGACAACAAGCTCCAGAGCGTTGGTGGAGACATCGATACTTATGTCGGAGTGGTATGTTTCATCTTCCCCTTTGGTAATTTCGGATATGCTTACCAGGACAGATTATATCCGACTTGATCAAGGCTATGGATCTTCAGGCTGTTAATTAGTGGGCTTGATAGCTTGAGTTAGGGCTTGTGTTTGTATTACACTCGGTCGGTACATCAAGACATACGGCTGGTGTACATGGGACCCTTTGCCTTGGTGGAATAAAGTTGGCTGAATGTACATAATTTTCCTTGGGTTTGAGTTGGGGTACAGCAGAATGTTAATGTAGATATTTATCCGAATGTGGTAGTTTGTCTTCTCGATAATAAATGGGGGATGATATAGCGATACCCCCTGGCGCCTTACCAACTCCCCCTAGGTTCCAGCGACACCCCCCTTACCTGATTGGGTAATGTTTGGTCCTGCGAATTGGGAAGTGAACTCAGCGGAGGATGAAAGTAATTTGATTTGCTATATAAATTTGATGATAGGATTTGCAGGTTGAATTCATTCTAATTCTACAATCGAATTGTACATTCTCTTAAGTTTACAATACGCTCATGAGAATGTAGATTAAACATGTGCAGGGCAAGAGTCAAAGAAAAGTGTTTGATTCCCAAGCATTCGTCTCTATCGACTAGTACTCAAGCTGCCTCACCTGCTCTGCATACATACTCCTTCTTTATCTGTGTGCTGAAATCATGAAAAATAGGAGCAAAATGACTTACTAAGATAGGAAAAGTGAGGAAAAACAAATGACTGACCGGAGGCTGAAGATACTGGATCCTAGCGGTATGGGAGGATCGACAGGTTACTGTCTGGATAAAGAAGAGAAAGACATTGAGAACTGATTTGGAGTGGAAGGTGGTGTTGAGCATCCAGCTTTGTGATAAGCCTTAGGTCTGGAAAAATTGACATATCGCGTATCAAATACTCAGCATTTCTCTCTTTACAAAATCAGCGAAAGAACCAGATATATGTGGGCCAAGCAAAGATAGATGGACATACATACCTAATGATAATGCTTTGAGGAATTTCCAACTCAAGTCCTTCTCTCCTCAGCAATCCCCCTTCCCATAGTCCTTGTTGATGGGTACATGCGCCCCCCAATCGCCCTTCTACGATTCATTTCTTCCACTAACCTCAGCTGCATCTGCAGATCTTCTTGATCGGCATCACCTCTAGGAGCTGGGAAATTCTCCGGCAATTCCATCTGGCAACGCTTGTGAAGAGCTTGCACTTGATTACCGCTCAAACCTTGCGAGTAGAAATAGTGGGAAAGGGCCTCTTTCATCGTCTCGATATGAGTGAAGTAACAAGAACACTGTGTATCAGTCCATCCTTGGGAGCATAAGAAGTCGTAGAGTCTCTTCTCGGGGGTGGTCAGGTGTGAAGGGTTGATGGCGTGAGGCTCATCAGGAATTAATGTCTCGTTGGAAGTAACGGAGGGAATTTGGCTCGTAGCCGACAGAGGAGTCTCCTCATCTGCTTCAACAGACATCTTTTTGCCCTGTGTGTGTCTATTGTCGAATCCAGTATTATGATCGATAGGAGACATTGCCCCTTTGTAATTTGTAGAGTTTTGACTCAGTTAGGGTCCGAGTAAGGTAGACTGATGAAATAAATGAGTAATAATCAACCAAGATGAAGGCGTTGCACTCAGCCCTATTTATCCGCTGAGATACCCTTGCACAAGTACATCATACTGGCAGTAGCATTGCTTACAGTAATTTACTAGTATTATTTGTATAGATATAACCACTGGCTTCTGCAAACTTATATTTAGAGGACTTTATAGTGCAATACTAAGTATCCATGTTCCTAACATCCCATCCCTTTCCCAGTCTCACAATAAAGGACTATTTCCTGCCTGAATCTAGGAGCAAATGGTAATACCAGTGTGGAGTGAGTAGTTGCAAGCATTGTTCATAGTTATGCACTATTATGAGACTAAAATCAATTTCCATCGCGGAACCAAAGAAGACGATTCAATTAGAATAAAAACATACCTGGTTCTGTGGATAACAGTTAGTATGATGTAATACTCCGTTCACACATATAGAGCAATCCTGATAGATAGCAGAGCAAAACTATCCGCCATATTGTGAGTTAGAACTCTTATAAAATAATAGCTTAGGCTGCAACTTACACCAGAATAATAATTTGGATTGCTGGCATCGCTCTCGTCAACATGAAGTTGAACAGCATTAGGCTCTGTGACATCCGCCTCTTGAGAAAGATAAGCCTGGGGCGCTTCTACTACCGGTCTTGCAGACACAATGACAGTGGCCGATAGGAGAATGGATAGACTAGATAGCTTCATTTTGAATAAAGGAACTCGAGTTCGAAGTAGAAAATGAGTATGGAAGCAATTGGGAGTGTTCGGTTTTTCGTTGAATAGCTTTGATTGCTTCCGAAGTAGTTGTGGATAGTCAATTTATCTAGCGATGTCGCGTCCTTTTATGGTGCCTCAGCGACAGGTAGCAGAGACTATCTTATTGTCCTTGTTGCAGAAGGCGTATGGGGAGAAGTCCTGCCTGGGCAGCGTGGATATCAATGTCAACGGAATTGGTGTGACTGAGCGAGCGCATATCTGGGGAACTTCAGTTGAACCCAGAAGAAGATGGGTGTGAGAGTGCCCAATGACTGACTTCTCTCATTCAGATTTATTCTAATTTTATCTCTGTATTGACATTGGTAGGGCTGGATCAGGAGATTAGAAATTCCCTGGTTTTGCGAGTGATTCTATATGTAATTTAATGCTCACTATGTGCTAATCCCATGGGAAGGCGTATTTAATTCGCTAATATCTACCTACGGCTTGTCAAGAATAAATAGTAGTTCTCTGGGTCATTTGAAATCTTAGTATGAGTTCACCTCCTTTTCGCTAGGAGTGATCATGGCCCTAAGTGAGATCTACAAGGCTTATGATAAATTTTCCGGCAGCAGAACACAAACTCCTAAGGCATTAATATTTGTCAAGTCTCAGAAAATTATTTATTCCAAGGACATGTTGTTCTCTTTGCCTCGGCGGTCTTCAGGAGTAAATAAGCAAGGTTGATGATGAAATCCATTGCAAGGCTTCAAACTATCACCTTGCTCGTTGACCAACTTGTCAAAACACCAATCTAGCCGTTTAATCCTTTGATATGGTCCTTCATAATGGTGGCAAAGATTGACTCTCCGTGTGGTTCAAGACTCATGGCAACATCAATGGCCGTCTCGCCCTTTGCATTTCGCACCATAGGATCCAGGCCCTTTGAAAAAAGAAGCAAAAGCCTATCATACGTCCTCAGCGTCCTTTTCCTTGCCACGAGATGCAGCAGTGTCTGGCCCTCCGGGTCTTGTCCTCTCAAGTTAACCCCAGCCTTTTCGAAGATCTCCAGGACTTCTTCGTCGATTTTGGCATATGGCTCATCCATATCCTGCCATACATCCCAGCTATATCCCTGTCGATTCTGATACCGAGTGGTGTCAAATGCTGTGAAATATAGCTCGAGGGCAGATTGCCCATCCACATTCCGAGCGTTTGGATCGACGCCGCGGTCCAGAAGTAGGCGGCATAGGCGTCGTTGTTCGTCGCCGCGCACGCCAAAGTCATCTAGCCAGCTCAGTGCCAGGTAATGCAGAGCAGTATTGCCGCGCGGATCGCGGAGGAGGGGATCTGCGCCTGCCGCTAGGAGATCATCAATTGCACTCTCCAGCGTGCCGAGATGCTCGGTCTTCGACCAGTAGCTTCTAATGCGGGATAAAGCAGCGATAAAAGGATACACGCCTTCCTTGTCGGGCTGGTTGACAAGCGACCCATAGTTATTAGCCACGTATCGGAGGGAGGCACTAATAACAGGCGGTTCACTGGAGCGCAATTGATGCCTTGCCTCGAGTAGGTGATGCAAAGCATTCTTTCCATAGTTATCAACAGCCAACACATTCGCACCTCGGTTGACGAAGTATTCGAGTAGTGTCAGCGTGTCCGGTGAGGTGGTTGTAGTTACTCCAAACAGCTCTTCAGTTTCCAGCAGTTGTCCGGCTGGGGGAATGGGTTATGTTGGATACCACGCTGACTCTCCTCGTAGAAAAGGTCCCCATGTACGCCGTCAATTGCAGCATCAGCGCCCAAGGCGCTCCGACAGGCAGAGAGAAGGATCGTTCGACCCTGCGGGTCCCTGTGCTCGAGATCGAGGTTGGTGCCCAAGAAGTCGAGCACTGGCTTGACGAATTCTCCGTTTTCAAGGAGAAAGTGTATGATGCTGCACACACCATACTTGCGTGGGAACAAGGGATGATTTGAGTCCGATGATATGAATTCGGAGAGCAGGTATTGCTCACGCTCTTCTCGACGCTCAAGTTGGGTGATTCCCAGGTCAGCGTCCTCGTCAATGACCTTGTCGTCTTGTGGCTCGCCAGGGAAGCGCGACCAATAGTTGTAGATCCTGATCGTCTGGCGAAAGAGCGCGTAAGGGTCAGCGCCATGTTACAGGATGGCTGTTGCCATTCGTGTCATGTTCGCCTTTTGCACTTGCGAGTCTGCTGGCAGACGTGAATATGTTAATGCAAGGTGAAGAGGATACCACTCGTCTGGATCCCCGTAGATTTCCGGGGGCTGAGAGCTCCTATTGCTGCTGGCCCAGTCCTCGTCTACTCCTGCCGTATTGGTGAGATCCGCGTAACTCGGCCTAGCATTTGGATCAATGGCACCAGTATCCAGCAGAATCTCAACTGTCTCTGCCGCTCCTGCGCATCGAGCCCCGTGACGCGCTGCTTCGCAAAGATCAAAAGCATCTGGCTTATGCCCCTGGGACAGAAGCTCGCGCACGCGGTCGGGATTCTTGACTGCCCGAGCGATTTCCCAGTCCCTTTCCTTGAGGTACATGGTAACTCTCATAGAGGTAAAAGGATTTCTGAGCACTGGGAAGTGTCAGATATTCAACTGAATATGCTCCCATAGAGTCTCGGAAGAGAGATCGAGTGCTCTTTATGAGCGGGAAACTGGATCAAATGACTCATACATGTAATAATTAGACTACCCCAGACACGTATTTGTTGTTCTGATGCATTTCTCACTGGAGCGCCGTAGGAGCTTAAGCTGGAAGTGGACAAGGTTACATCCAAGAACCCGCCACCATTATTTCCGTTGATTCCTACACTTAGATGCCATTTATTTCTTGTCCGCTAACATTTCATTTTCAACACGAAACTCTTCCATGTTTGTCACCAATCAGTGTCCTTCTGCACGCCAAGGAAGCATTACAATGTGAGCCACTAAGCCTAAAATGGTCAATTATCGCGATGTCCTCACCCAAACATCGTTCGATTGCTTCTACAGATAGTCAGATATGGTGACGAGGCTTGGACACATATAGTCCAAGAATTAGTGGACATAGGCTAGTTATTATGCGGCTCACTAGAAATGACGCGGTATATATAGCAGGTCGACCATATCCGGTCACTCTCAGCAATGTCTCCTGCCACCAACTCAGTCAGCTAGATTTAAATGGAAAAGCTCGCCATTGTCTTCTATTTTAATTAACCAACCTCAGCCCAAAGACAAATACTATGGAGACCAATGCGATGCCGTCTCTTTCCGTTGACCGCACTCGCATTGCAATTACTGAAGTGACCATCTTCTCCATCATTCAGCTCGTACGGTTTGTCACCAGATTCATGCAAGAATGGCAGTACTGGCACCACAGGAAGGAAAAGAATGTCCTCAGATGCTTGCTTTACTCTTGGTTTGGTATGCTGGGGGTTTTGGCGCAGCGTAAGTGACAATAGACAAGTCCCACTATGGTTTCGGGCAGGGTTGATCGAGTGTATCAGTTCGAATTGCGGGCTCCGCGATGGTGATTGCGGTTTCCAATCCGAGCAAGTCGGTATGGACGGCAGAATCCATTCTGCAAAGTATCGGACTATCACCTCTGTTGTTTGAGGTGAGCCTTGTCCTACTGCGAAGGTATGTCAATGGATTTGCTCAAGTTGTTGCAAGTACTAATGGCTAGAAAGTGGACAAGCTGGGCGAAGCGGTCCCGGAAACACAAGACACCCAACATATTTGCGTTTTCTGCTTCACGCCTTTCGCTTCTCAGTCATCCTGTCTCTCGTCTGTGCCGTGGTGGGTGAGACGATGGATATTCCCGCCTGTATGGATGTGGGCTCGGCCGTCTTCGTCATTACCTTTGCATTCGTGATTATTCTTGTATTTTGGATTGCAATAGTTTATCGCATGGTTCTGCCCAAAAACGGTTACCGCGGGGTGATGCTGGTCCTTGCCGCTCTGCCCTTTTTGGCTGTCAGAATCACCTACTTCCTGCTGGCTGAGTATGGGTCGGAGGAATTCAACGCGGTCACTGGGAAACATGGGATCAAGGTTGGTATTGGCCTGTCGATGGAGATTATCGCCACAGTGCTTCTGCTGTTATCACGAGGCTTGATGGAGCCATTTCGATTCAAAATTCTCCATGCTGAGGAACTGGAGAGAGGGTAGAGGCCTTGAGCACGGTGGTTTTCTTTCCAACAAGGCTGGAAAATATTGACGATCGATAAGGGCGGAAAGTGGGTTCAATCAAGAACCGTCACGAAATTCTTGGGCTGCACAGCTGCATAATTCCGCGACATTTGCATCAGACGGTTCTCTATCCATGCTTTGGTTCTGATATCTGCGACCTCGTATGCCACACGCAGCGGGAATCCCATTCTGTACGGCCCTAGTAGGCCGGCACCGCTGTATTCCACTGACTTGCAAATCTGATCTCGGAAAAAGGCGACCATAGCTTCATGTTCCCCAGGATAGCCAAGGGTCCGCAGGGCCTCGTGTATGATAGCCATATATGCGTGATAGGAATTGAATAGTGAGGCGATATTCAGATCGGAATAGTGCAGAACGATAGGATATACAGCGTCATCGGTTGATGATAGCCTTTCGTATGGAGTTGGTGCTATTCGGGAAAAGCGATTGTACCATAATGACAATTTGTTCTGCATCTCAAGAGTTCGGGTCAAGGTTTCGGACAGCTTCTTCCAGGTTGTAGGATGTGTCATGTCTGCTGCTTTGATCTCATAAAGCGCGTGAACAAGACTTGGTGCCAGTGAGAATAATTCTATGAATTCCTCTAGCAAATTTTCCAGCTCTTCGGAGGAGAATGAGTTGATGCGCTGCCTCATTACGGCGTGCCAGCGCTCTGAGGCCAAGAAGCATCTTTCCCCGGAGAACAGAGAGTGCATTATCTGCACTCATGTCAGTCTCACGTTGTATCCAGAGCATCAAGGCCACCCACAATCAATCCTCGTGCGGCTTTGAGTAATGTGTTATCGAATGGGTCCTTATAAGAATTTGGCCCACGAATCTCGGCTAGCTGGCTCACTGCTTTTGCATGTTTCATCCATGTATCTGGATCTTGAGTATTCGCAAATAGCTAACTTAATCAGATGACGTCGCTTCTTTTGGAGGGTAGATAATCAGATCCCTACCTCGTACAAGCACAGAAGTAGCACCGCGCAGAAAATATCGGAAGACAGACGCTCAGAAGGGGCGTTCAAAGATTTCCGAAGTCTGCTCAGAGCCTCAATGTACGCAAATCTGGAATACCGCGAAAATTGGTCATTCTGCAGCATCTTCGAGATATGGTGTGCTGTAAAGCATCGAACAGTCGCATCCAGGGTTTTGTTCCGTCCATAGATGGATGGGAGACTACTGAACCATCTGGAAACAATGTGGATTGAAGTCGACGAGTAAGGCTGAGAGAGGTCATCGACTACTGACGAAAGCCCTTGGAGGACATTAATCGTTGGGGAAGACAGCGTGGACACCGGTGTACTCGGTATCATCGATCCTCTGTCGGTCTCGTTGTTTTCTCTCATCGACGTGCTCGTTTCAGAATCAGAGCCATCGGTTCGAGGTACTCGTCGAGAACGATAAGGTTTTCCCGCTTTGAACTTGAAGTTCCTGAAATAACCCGGGCATGGCTTTCCATATTTCTCACACCGCGCACAGCCCGGAAGTCGCTCGTCGCACTACATTATATGTCAACGGCGTCGTGGCCTCTCATTCTTGGAAGACAAACCTTGACGCGACGCTGGACACAAAGTAAGCAGCCAGAGCTCCGCGCACCCGCCATTTTTAGATGAACAAGGATTTCAGACTCCTATTGACTATTGACGGGTAATTCCTGTAAAGGATGAGGGGATGTTGGGAACTTGGGAATACGAGATGGCGAAGTGTGGCTATGGCGCGCTACAGTGACTAAAACACCATTTGCACTGTCCCCTTTTGGCCTAGCCTAATTATTAGGCACGTGCGTCGCAGAAGAATAACCAATCATCTCGTTACTTGTCTTAGATCCAGATATCATCACTTTAAAATAAGAGGTACTGACAGTGATACTGACATGCCAGACACAGGCAACTGCTCACCCTTTTGGTCCTCAAAAAATATGATTTTCCTGCGAGGACAACCAAGGACGTGACCCTGACGGAGCTGTGCGGAAGGCCCAAAGGTAGAGGCAACCTGATCAACCACAAGCCGTCCAAATGATATTAATAGATAAAGAAAGAAAATATGGTTTTCTTAGTGCGCATCAAGAACCTCAGCAAAAATATTGAAAAATATGTACAACAGCCGGGATTCGCTGGTGGTCACCCACTCTACTACTACTAATCGGCCGGCATGCGGCTCGATGGATTGCATAGGGATGGAAGTTTGGACTTATGATCACTCTAATTAATTAGGATGTTGTTAGTTTGTACACTACATTTAGGGCTTTGCGTAATGCATCTATCTCTTACAGGTTCAAACCTGACTGGCTTGAACTAGTTCTAGATATACTAGATTAGTATCTAGCAAAATTCCTGATAATGCATATTGTTCATAGCAGTGTATTCTCAAGATGAAAGGTAGGACGAAAGAGGAATTTATTTATTGTGGTGTTACTTTGTCGCAGCATAAATGTTTGAGATAGTTTCAGCGCCCATCTCTTTAAAACCAGTAATAATAACCAACATGCTTCGGGCCGCGGCTCCACTGTAAGTACTAAGCAAGACCCCCGGATCTCCCGGCACTCGGCACTCGGCACTCGGCACACGGGAGTCGGGAGGCGGGAGGCGGCAGTAGAATGGAGACGATCTAATCACAGGAGCATCGATCTTATCTTGATTTCATCACTTTACTCCATAGTCCGCGCTGCTTACTCTGCTGTGTTTGGGTAATCTCCTTCTGCCAGAAACCCTAAGTGTACTCTATTTTCACTATTACCCACTGGCCAGCTACATCAAACCTTTGTTTAATTCTCACATAGCCACTGTTTACTACATTAGATTGCATACTAACAGTCTAATGTCCTGCCTGTCTAAGACCTTTACACTGTTGACTTAAGAAACCCTAAGCAGTGGAACGACCACAACACCAAGAAAGCAAGAGCTCATATCTTAGAGAGTTGAAGCAACCCCTGAAGCAGATCATCATTCTCTTTAAACAAGTTATAATGGTGATGAGGTTAGGAGACCCCAGGAACGAGCATTCTCAACCTGAGCTCTGTCAGAGTTGCATGGTCTAAAACAACAAGTGACAATGAATTTCGATGCCTACCATGAAATGTGCGAAAACTCCCTTACTCTTCTTTGGTGTCGAGACCTTTGGCTCCAAAAGCATCATCCTTCCATCCCTGGCACTATTGGCTTCCTATTCAGGAAATCATGACTCTCTACAACATCCGCCAAGGAAAATGCTTGCTGAATCCCAGTCATCCTTCCAATATACCGACTGCGATCTACGATCCATTTCCGCTGAACGTCCGATTCCACAATGCACCCAACCGTCAGCAAGGGCCAGAACAAAAAGTAGAGCCCGGCAACCGTCGGAATGCCACTGGCGGACGGATCGCGGAATATATCTTTCTCAGTCTGCAGCAGATCGCCTGAAGACATAGACACAAGGCCACAGAATTGAGGCACCGTACCTAATACCTGAAGTATCAAGTTCTGCATTACCTCGAAGGAAGATCGATAACAAGAAGCATCCAATAGAGAATACCGTTCGGGAGTTGTTGCCAAAATACCACGTAGTTGGGTGCAGATTTCCTTGTGTAAAAGTAACCGGCAAGTACGCAGTTTGTTCCAGATGGCGGCTATCCAGACATCAGGGTATACTCGGTAGGAAGACCCAAAGACCAGCTCGGATGGTTCATCCAGAGTCATTGATCGGAAACGCCATTGAACAGGAAAGTCGCCGGCGAGCAAGACGAACTCGCGATCGATGTCCAGAGCAACATTCAGCAAACGGCGACCACGAAGAATATTGAGCTTGACATCGGCACGAAATTTGGCAACTTTGACTTCCAAGTCGAACAATCTCCACGCCGGGTCACTGGTATCCAAATACCTTGCAGTCAATTGACGGATTGCGATGAGTTCTGGTGGAACTGGATAGGAGTGCAAAACGGAGTTCACCGAGAGACACCAGCAGATATGCAGGAACAGTTGCTGCCCCCGCCGGGACTCGAACATGCGATGGCCTCGCAAGTGGATAATCGTCATTGCGCCTCTGATATGTGCATTGCAATGTGAAAGCGACTGTGGATTCCCCGAGGTAATCGTCTCAAACGTGCTGAGAAGTAGGATCGAGACGATTGTGCTATCATTGGCCATTTCCTCTCGTGATGACAACGCAGTGTTGATGAGCTGGAGAGCATGTCCGTATTGGCGTCTGGACTCCTCAAGCAGAGCTGGATGTTGGAAGCTGTAAGCGTACGCTGCGAGTGCGACAGCACTCAAGCTCACGAAGAGTTGTTTCCTATTTCTGACATCCTCACCAAACATAGAAAGATACTCGTAGTGACCCCGGACACGGCCACAATCACGGAATACGTGAGTTGCCAGAAAGAAGTCGATGGCACGATCGGCGATGGGTCGAAGGAGTTCTCGCGGGGGATTGGCACGGCATTCGCGTGCTTTTACAAGAGCTGTAGGCTTTCTGCTAAGCCTTTTCTCAATATTTGATCCAAGATGTCTCGAATCCGCATAGCCACAGTTCCTTGGATCATGGTGCTGGAACATGCGGTCAATGGCGTCTCCGTACTGCGGACATTTCCATCCAGCTTTGAGACATTGGCCGCAAGCTGGATGCGCTTGATCGCACTAACAAAGGTAAGCTATAATTTTAACTTAAAATATCGTGAAAAGGACCTTGATTTTGCGCGTCCTACACGTCCGACAGCCCTTAGAGAGTCTCCCATGACGGACCATTTTCGGGAACATGTATCGATGATGAACGTGAGACTTATTGCGTCGATGTGGACTCGGACAGTTGATTTACTCGGTCTACATGGAATATGAAGGAAACTAATCGCCAGAATTGAGAGAGAGTGGGAAAGGATAAGTGAGAATGAGTCGAAAACGTTGATCAACAGAACCCACCAGAGATCAGCACTAGACCTTTTTAGGTAGGTATCGCGGGATAGCCAACCAGCTTCAAGACTTATTGGTCTGCCCTAATCAAAGATGAAGAAGTCGGGACATTAACAGCGCCTTGATCGAGCACGGACGGATGAATGGTCAAGCCACTTGTAATCGTTTCCAGGGAAGATGCTCCTATAAAGGTGAAGTGACCCCCCTCCTCATGCTGTTACTGGATCACCTACCGCACTGCAACGCGTCGACTCTACATTAGGTACCATGGATTTTGATACAAAGGTCTTCGTGGTCTTCGGAGCCACGGGTATTCAAGGAGGTTCAGTCGCCAAGGCTATCCTGGATGACTCGATTGCTGCAAAACAATTTCGAGTCCGAGCTATTAGCCGAGATCCAGCCAAACCAGCTGCAACGGCTCTTGCTCAGCTGGGTGCCGAGGTCATCAAGGTCGGAGCCTGTTACATACAGCCTGACTTGATGATAGACTGACAGTCGGCAGGCTGATATGGAAGACAAAGAATCCCTGCGTACGGCTCTGAAAGATGCCCACGCGGTCTTTGTGGTGACCAATTTCTGGGACACAATGGACCCTCTGGCCGAAACGAGACAGGGAAAGAATGTTGCCGATATTGCCAAGGTAGGTTTATACAGTCTGCTGTCTTTGAGGAAGAAAGCCATCTGACAGATACAGGAAATGGGCGTCAAGCACCTGATCTGGAGTAGCCTTCCGAACATTTCGCAGAGTATCATCATCCGCCCATGTCTCAAAGCATAGTCTGACAGGTGACACAGTCACGAACGGGAAACTCACTGCAGCCGTCCACTTTGACAGCAAAGCCCGCGTCGACGAGTACATCCGTTCCCTCGCGATCCCACATACCATCGTCCATCTCGGCGTCTACACCTCTTTTCTCTTAGAGTCTCTGGTCCCTGTATCAAGCGACCCTCCCTCCTACAAACTGGCCTTCCCAGAGCCAGCTCATCTCAAGGCCGCCATGCCACTCCTTGATCCCTCCGCTGACCTTGGTAAATTCGTCAAGGCGATCCTCCTGAGCCCGGGGAGATCTTTCAATAGTCAATTCAACATCGCCGAGAGGTATTATACTTTGGAGGAGATGATAGATTTGATGAAAAGTCTAGGATTAAATGTGGAGTTTCAGGCTATCGATCAAAAGACCTTCAAGGCTAGTCTTGCAGCCAGAGGGTGGCCGGACTTCTTGCAGGAGGATCTGGTGCAGGTGATCCAGTATGCCGCTGAGTATGGATACTTTCAAGATGAAAGAATTGAACAAGCTCATGAGGTATGTTCTTAGTGTGATCTTTTAGCGGACATTATGCTGATGTGTGCATGTATAGCTTGTTTCCCAGCCGCTCACTTCGCTGGGAAAATCACTCAGTGAAAGTCCTGACTTTGCTAAGCTCATCAAGTAATGCACGTTTAGGGACAGAGAGATTGTATTTAACCTCAATGGCGTACTATTTTGGTATTCCTTAGAGAAGCCATCAGAGCAGGGGAGTGCACGGAAAAAAATATCATACTTCTATCTCGCCCCTCTCTAATTTTTCTAATAAGAGCAAGATTTGCTCCAAGGCATGGCTCTTGTCTCTTTTGCACCTTGCCCACCGGTCAAATGGCTTCAGCAGATCGAACCTAGCTTCTTCCAGCAAGGATAAATCACCCCGTGGGTCTCGCCTCCGTCTCGGGCTTTGGGCCTCTTCGCCCGCCTGCTTTTCACTAGTAGTCCCTGAATCGCCCGTCTGTGAGTGGATCGTCCACTGACAATGAATCTTCATACCTAGTCCTACCTCAATCTCGGCAGCCAATCAATCTTCGAGACTTGTCAAGGAACACTCAGTGATCACACCAGACTGTAGGTTGTAGGCCAAGAAAGAAGTCGAGTCGGAACTCATAGTACCAGTCACAGTGATCCGCGATCCGGGGTATAGAGATTGAATCATGAGCGCATGATTGTGGAAGGCTTGGAGGATGGTGGAACGCGATAGACCTCGAGGGACGTCTTCTACTTGGTGTTGCTGGAGGGTTTTGTACAGGACTGCTGAAGTGAGCTAATGTTTTTCTGTGGTGGATTGTATGGTGCGTACTGGAAAACATTGCGTCAGTTCGTAGGGGGTAGGTTTCCGGTCAAGTTGCTTGGGCACACGAGGAGACAGACACAATAAGCGACAAGAGAAGCTGTCTTCAAGTGTTCTGTACATGACGTTTCAAACCCCTTTATGTGCTGTGTTCCCCGCAATGACGTGCTGGTCAAGACTGGTCAAGATAGCACGATCTCGGAAGAACAGACGTAGGGTAGATCAGGCAGAGGAGGAAATCTGAGGAGGGACAAGTCAGTGAAGGATTTGATAAGCCATACATCAAGCACCAGGAGGTGACACACGACCCACGCCTTGAAATTATTGCCATCCGGGTTTTCCATAAGACTGACAAACCAAATAATTATGCATAGTAGTTGCTCTACATCTGCCCCCTAGAGCCTCCTACTGGGCATAAATAAGCACTATCTCTGTTAGCTTGGTTCAAAGCAGGCTCGCTAGAAGTGGGCCGCCTACTTGGGTTGGTCCTGATTTCCACAGTTCGGTTATGCAACTCTAGGTCAGACCAATATTGAGAATGACTGTGTACATCTTCAACTCTGATGAGGATTGGCAACCATCCATGAGAATTAGTTTGTGTCCAGTGACAGTCCCTGCTAGAGATAGGGAACTGGGGACGGCGGCCCAATATATAAGCCGTGTTTGAGGCAGCAATGACGCTCGGACAGGCATGCTCCATGGAATAAATACCAGGGGGCACAATGTGCGTTCAAAGCCTCGATGATTCACTGAATTCTGTCATTTATATTACTTATCATTTCACCGCGTTCTTCATCGATGCCGGAACCAAGGGATCCGTTGTTGAAAGTCTTAACTCATTATGATAATCAATTCAAACCGCATACCTTCAGAACAGCGCTCATGGGGGAGCTATTGAGCTCATCATAGCCATTCCAGCAATCGAGGCCGATCTAAATGCTATTCTCATCCAGAAAGACATCTTTGCATTAACGTGGAATCTATATCCTTAGTTTCCCATTTCCTGGTCCTACCACCCAGACACTGCTTTCTAATGAGCTGTCTTAAATGACACATCTGGTCCCTGAAAGCAGAACGCTCGGATCTGTGATTGCCTCGATGAGACGATCCTCGGATATAAACGATAATCCTGAGAGTATGGCGGCAAAAGCCCGGGATAATTGAGAAAACCACCGGCCTCTGTTATATGGGCACTCCGAAGGTCCCGATGCGGCATTACATTCTTTGAGATTCTAGAGGTTCCTTTTGATTACTTACTTGTAGCTAGCTCAATCTACCGTCGCGCTTCTCCATGTCACATAAGCTAGCAATGTTCCATGCACTGTTTCGCCGCAATGTAAGAAGAGCCGCCTGCCTCGATTTCTACTTGCCCTATAACTAACTGGGTAAAATAAACACGAATTATGGCCGATGGAGGAAAAAGAAACGGTGAAACCCCGAAAATCGCTTTCCCCGACGAAAAGCAGGATGGAGTATAAATACAGCGTCTTGAACTGCACCGAGTAAGTTTCTTTTCTTACCCCTCGAGTCTTCCTTTTCTTTCCATAATCCATCCTGCCACAGCATGCAGTGGATGTTCTATTGTTTTATCCTCGGCGACCTCTACGCGCTCTATATCCGATTTACAACAGGAGAATGGTCGTCCCTCGCACGGTACTTTCTGGTCTGCTCGCACTTGGCCTTGTGGGCTCGGGTCTTGCAGGCAATACTGATAGCACTGTGACCTACGAGTCCCCCATCATCGAGTCCTGGGAGGGTGAAGAGACGAACCTGACCATCTCGTTTGACGTCGTGGGCGCCGATTACGCGCACCTGTACAATACCACCAACGTCCTGGCTGCGCGCACCGGCATCACCACCAAGGTCTCTGTCGCCCAGATCGCCAGCGTCGCCTCCCAGGTCATCATGACCGTCGGCTCCGCCGTCACCATCTACGAATTTATTGCCGAGATCATCAAGGCGAAGTCCGACGCTAATTCGTGCACCCTCACCTACGGCACCGACTCCGACGGCACCCACACTGAGGGCTACGCCTATAAAGCCACCACCACTGGCAACAATTGCGAGACTACGGCCGAGAAGAAGACACTTCTGTCCGCCACGGAGAAGTGCGCGAATGCTCTGCACACCAAGGGGGCGGTACGGGGCTGCTGCACTATGCACCACGGCGGGACCTGGAATGGCCACCTCCGGTTGTCGGGCGATCCGACTAACTATCCGGTGACGTCCGTGACTTGTTAGAGAGAAAGAGTTGGGCTGAGCTTGTATAGCAAAGTGGTAAAGGAATAAATTAGTAGCAATGTGGATTTAATTGAGCTTGGGCCTGGTGGAGAACCAGGACTTAGCTGACGTGGACTGCATATCGACTGGAGATTGAGTGGTGACGGTTGGACTTTTTTTACTGGTAGGTGGAAGTAGTCCAAAGCTAGTTGTTCCCAATTCGAATGAAGTACGTACGTACTATCGTGGGTGAATTGAATAGTCGTACTCGTACTCCACTTAGGGTTCCGCAAGAATCGATTCGGCCGGAAAGTACAAACTCAGCTTCAAAGCCATCATGCCATAGCGTCAGGCTTGGACCTCTGAAGTATCATCATTTGTATGCACATGGCAAGATCAAAAGGGAAAATCTTCTCTAATGTATAACTGAGAACAGGCATGTGCTCAAAAAATCTCCCCATCTTCTCATGATACTGAATCATTAGCGCCCAAACCCTGCCACTCAGCTCCATCATGCGCATATCTAGCTGTGAGTGATGCGCCAGGACATGCCTAATTAACATCTAGTTTAGCAGATCCTTGCTATAGTAGATGGGGATGCCAGGGAAGTACTTGAATATGGAGGTTATGAGGAAGTAGTTGTCGTTGACCTGGCAGATGGAGGGGTCTGGGTTGAAGCCAGGGATTATGGGGTTGCAGAACATGGCGGGCATGCTATATCTCAATATTAGATTGAAAGTTGGGGGAAGGTGGGGGATAAGGATTAGAATGCTAGTACTGTGAGTGTGAGTGTAAGTTTATTAGATGGTACAGGTGGCTTGAAGATATTAATTGATTTGGCTAGGTGAGTGAGAGTGGACGGTGGGGAATCTGAAGTAGACAGAATATCTGTGTACATATACTACTACTAATTTCACTGGACTTGGGCTGGATTTGGGGGAATGCGCGGGAAATATTGTTTGTGGACTGAAATGTGGTTTGTAAGGTTAAAACTAAGGTTGATGAGATGAAGAATATCTAGTGCTGAATTTCGACTGAGCTTGTTTCTCTTGTGTGATACCGCATATAACTACAAACTATCTCGACGACCCTGTGCCTCAGCCCTTGGAAACCTCCTCATCACCACCCCAGCACTAAACGCCTGATCCAACTCGGCAAATGACATATCCTTTGTCTTGGGAACCTCAAACCACACCCAAACTGCTGTGATAGCCGTCAAAGCCGCCCACATAAGTACTGCCTTGGCCCCCAGATTCGCCTGGTTGTTATTAATCAAGTATGGGGTAATAAAACTAAACAGCCAGTTTGACACTGCATTTGTTAGTGTACAGAGACTTTATGTTTTTATGTGCAGCATAACAGAGCTTGTTTTGCTGCTTATACTCCAGGACATGGTGCTGATGGTTGGTGCATAGACCAGCTACATGAAGTTGATCATGATGGTGATGTAAAGCATTACGGATTTATAGGCGCTGAAGATACCAGCTATGCCCACTGTTAGGAGGATGATTAGGTTGACCAGGGTACTAGTGAAGAGCATAGGTTGGTGACTGATATAGCCCATGGCAATCCACATGAGGACATTGCCTAGGAGGCCTGTGCTGAAGCTGCCTAGGGTGAGTTTAAAAGAGAGTAAGAGGCTGAAACTGCTGATGATAAGGAAGTAGAGGGCCTATGCATACAGGGCAACGCTGCTGAATTGCTGGATGAGGAACATGCTGCAGGCGATGTGGGTGTGGTGCTAGTTGGGCCCATGGAAGCAGTTAAGGTAGGTTTAGGGCATACTTTGGCTGGTTATGGCTTCTGCAATGCTCTCCTGTTGGAGGGAGGAGATGGCTAGGGAGATATTGTATTGCGGGGTGTGGAGGGTCTTGAGGCTTTTCTTAGCTGCTTCCAGTTTGCCTTTGTGCATGAGGTAGTGCGGGCTTTCAGGGAGAATGGTTAGGAAGAGGATAATGGCGCTAGGGAATGCCCACTGCGCAGTGAAGAGGACTTTATAGGCGGATGGGCTCATGATGGAGTATTATGTGCTGCTGATTGCTATTGTGGTCATTTGGCTGGCAGAGATAAAGAAGCTAGTTATTGTAATGAGGGAGGACTGGATTTCGATTAGAGTGACTTTAGAAATGTATGTGGGACCCATGGAGAGGAAGAAACCCATGGTGAATCCATTAATCTAGAGAGTTGGTATGAATTTGACGGTGGCTGATTATTGGGGGGGGGGGACTTACAATCTTTCCTGCAAGAAGAACACTAGCGCTCCCAGCAATATACTGAACAGCCATACTGATAGTGGAAAGGATTGACCCCAGGAGCATACCAGCCTTCCTCCCCCAGAGGTCCGAAAACGTGCCGCAGACCACCCCGCCGAAGATCATTCCGACAGAGGTCATGGCCACCCAGAGAGCATTCCATGTGGCATCAATCAGGAGCTGCCCCTGGTACCCGTACCCAAAGACCATCTGGAAGGCCGGAAGAGCCATGGTGATAGTGTTGACGCCAACATCAAACCCCCAGAGCATTGAGCCAATGCAGCAACATAGGGAAGAGAACAGAATTTTCCGAGACTCCCAAAGGACTGACTGTAGTTAATGGCTGGGACTCTTGGGCATCCGGCCCGAAAGAAAGGTCTTCCACATGCTTGTTGTCTGCTTCTGTATCTGCGCTCAAAGTAGGACGGGCCATGGTTGAATGGACAACTGGAGGTTGTAAAATTGGAACCTTGTAAATACCCAGTGAAGCACTGGGGCCATTCAAGGGTGATTGGCAATTATATAAGTGGACGGGTCGACTGTCTCTTCAACTTTCTTGCCGACTGCGTCTCAACTCATAGGTCGTCTGAGCTATTTGGGGCTTTATGTACAGGATAGAGGGCAGATAGACCTCCAATCCAATCAACCTGGTTCTATACAGAGTTCATTCCATCTATGAAGTGCTTTTTGAGTCACTAATCACAATTTCACTAGCAGCAAAGGAACCTACACCTTAAAGTGCAAAATGTATCAGCGTCATTGGCTACAGATTGCCCCTAAGGAAATGTTTCCTATACCAGACCTTGTCTGTGATTGTGAAGGTAGACTGGAAGGCCCTATGTCAATCTTATTGACTGTCAATTATTTAGTGTTATCAATCACTACTATGTACATGATTGTTGTCACTAGAATAAGTTCATGAACTGGAAGCACCATTCAGCTGGCTCCACCTTTATTAATATCTAACCTTGTGGATATAAATCCTTAATTGGAAGTCCACAAGACTGAAGATTGTAAGCCTTGTTCATCAGTTTGTTTCATGCGTAAAGGTGATGACCTGATCTTTAGACACCTAGGAAGTCATCACTCTTGATATGCGCTGAAAACACATTGATGAAAGATGTTCTATCCACCAGCCCCATAAATTGCACAGCTGAGACCGCTTACATTAGGTAAATTCTCCGGAAAATGCCCTGAAGATATGAGACTTTGCAACAGTTTGCAGATTAGCGCTTACGAAACGCATAGACAGGGCTCTTGGTACAAAATCGGACCCTAGATCTAATGCAATAAGGTTTGCTACGCTCCACTCCCGAACATGGACGGGCCGAGTAGGTAAAGCTGTCTCAGAACGAGCCCGGCGTAGCGAGCAGGATATATCTCCGCCTTTCGATCTATCGAGGTTTTCGCAACGCCAAGTTGTGCCCTCGTGTTGTGCCCACATCTGTCTCATCCTGTCTCGTCTTGTCCCATCCACCAGCGTGCCGCAGATATGCAGGACAGAATAACTTCTGCCTGATGCGGGGTCCCGCATTTTGGTACCTTTTAGGCTGCTGCCATAGAACGATATAATTGCAATTGAAGCAGGCACGAAACAATCAGGCCACATATTTCATATGATCTATCACTTGATGATAGCGTAGTTAATTATAGATTGGCTTCTTACTTCGTATTAAGCACAGATAACTTTACCTTGGGCAAACATTAAGACATTTTGGTAGCGCTAATGAGAAACGTTGCTACTTCGAGGCTTCGCTAAAAGTAAATCTAATATATGTACTCCTAATTATGGAAATCCTGACACATAGCTCAAGTGCCTTACGGAGTATAGTGAATGAGATCACAAACTATGGATTGTTTATCTTACTACCAGTGATGACTCTATATGAATACTCTATACTTACCATATCTTAGTCTTGAAGGTACATATTGTCAAAGTATAGGAGTTACTGAAATACTATTAGTCTATTACCCTGAAAGAGTGACTGTTATAACATTATTTTGATAGTTGTGAGTTTAGATACACTCCCTTCATCCTTTAAGTTAGAAAATTGACATTATAAGACCCTATGTTTGAATCCCAGTAGCTATAGTAAGAATAGGGCCAGAGCCATGATGCTACATAAGAGCCAGAGTGGTACCATAGGGAGAATCTAGAAAGGGAAAAAACACACTATATACACTCAATGCTCTGCAGGCATTGAGGGCTCAATCCCTAGGGGGCTGTGCCAAAGTATAGGAGTTACTGAAATACTATTACCCTAAAAGAGTAGCTGTCATGATGTTATTTTAGTACAGTGGTATAAGTTTTCTGATATATATTCAGTCACTTCGACCAGGTAAGCCATGCTTTTTCTTTTTTATTCGCCATTCCTGACGGTGGTTCAAACGATAAAAATCTAGCTTTCTTGTTTTCCCACTATGCCTTTACTTTTTTCGTGCGCTCTGATTGCCTACTTATATATAAGTAGCTCGATATTTTTTGACATCGTTCATTATTTCCTTCATCAATGGTCCACGTCGCAATGGAAAGCCCTGCAATGGCTTTCTCGGTGTCATCAATTTCACCATCTCTACTACAATCGGTCCTTGAACTTCAATCGCCGATACCTACTGCAAAATAGCTGCATCGCGTTACCCCTTGAGATGGTCTGCCTGTCTATGGGAGGCCTGCTGGGATGGTTATTCTTCCTGCAACTCGCGAGACTTAATGACAGAGTAGTCCAATGCACTCCACTGATAATCGTCCTTGCAGTCCACCTCATACGGACGTTAGTGGTGATTTGTATGAACGGCCGAGACTCCAACCATGTTTCCTATAAAACAGTCCCGAAAGACCCTCATTGGCTGTTTGTTGGGCCTCAGTTTCACGCACTACATCATGTTCATCCAGATCGTTATATGAGCTCGGTGGTCAAGTTATTTGACTGGGTAGCGGGGACTGCCTACTCTTTGCGAAACAAGAATGTTGCCATCACAGGAGGTTCAGGGGCGTTTGGATCCGCGATTAAACGGCGGCTACAGTGTGAAGAAGTCAGGAATATATATACATTGAAATTCGGCACCCACTGGACGCATGAAAACTTCAGCCATGTCGGACAAGCCTTGGACGAGGCAGATATCCTCATCTTGGCCCACGGCACCAAAGGCAAGGACGCCATGGATGCGAATTGCAACTCAACCGTCCGTCTTATTCAACTTTACATGGAGCGACGAGTCGGCCGAGAAGACCGCGATAAGATAATTCCAGAGATCTGGTATGTGGGCAGCGAGATTGAGCTGCATCCTGCGTTTGGAATCCCGGGCATGCAACGATATTCTACCTCGAAACGGGCGTTTTTACCCTACGCCCGTGCCCTATATGACGATCCGCGGATAGTGTATCGCCATATAGTCCCCGCTGCCTTCCAGTCACCGATGGGCAAGGCTATTGTTTCCCCGGAGTGGGCTGCGGGTGTAATGATGTGGTGGATTCGTCGCGGAGCCCGTTATGTCCCGGTCACTTACACGGGGATTGCATACCTGAACTTTTTCAAGTTCACTTATTGGGTCCGTCCTGACTTGGACAAGGTAGCAGGGATTAATAAAGTGTACTGATAATGGAGTTTTCTATCAGCAATGCAAGAGTCCCTTATATATACTTACCGTTAATCGGTGGTTAATTTGATATTAAAATCTAACAATTCATTAGCAGCGCAGTCTGTTGAAATAATAATTCACTTGTAGCATAGTAGTCGCGTAATCTACTATGATGGGCCAGCAAAAGCATAGTTATCTAGGCTAAAGTCAGCTTTCTAACCTAATACTAGCATACTAAGAGTTGTAGGCTTAGAAGTGCAGCTAAGAGAGTAATACTAATAGAGTTGCATAACCGATAGCCTAGGGAATTACACTGGTTGCGGTTCCCTCCCCCTAAAACCTCTTTAAGTTTGATTTAGCGCAACCAGCGGGTCAGACTAGATGATACTGAGGCTACTGTATCTATAAATGATCGCAGCCAACATAACTCTCTACTATCTAGTTTTGGTTGTCCATGGAGGAAGCTATTTTTCGCGTCCTCTATCCTATCTTTCATTTTCACTGCCCTAAGCGTGAGTGCGCGTCTTCTAGTTGTAATTTACATCCAGGAATATGGCTCTTCTGCATATCATCTTATCATGGATTTGGGCGTTAGGATTTGGGAAACAATGAAGAACTGTAGGTGATGACACTGTTTTCTGGATATTCTGTATAGGACACTTCAATTGCCAACAGAATACTGATGTTGACTACTTAAACTTTTCAGGTACTGTCCTGCACTTGCTTCCCTGAATAGGCCTGGCGCGTCATCTCTTCAACCCGCCTACCAACTTTATGTTCTTTGTAGGTGCCCGATCCTTACACCCCTCCTGTTCGTGGAATATATTCTCAGGGCCTAAAGCGGACTCTCTTCCAAAGGTGGTAGTTGTAAATTCCTCCCATCACCCTTAGTGACTTCTATGGTCTCCAAATCAATACCGTGTAACAGGCGCATCTAAAGTGGAACCCCGGTAGTTATATCTGTTAGCTTATCTACGCTCTCGTCCATAGCGTTAAACAGGAGTAGAAAACGTTTACTTACATTAACAGCATGTTTGCCATATATGAACTTTGGATTCAGCGATTTGTTGTATACATTGGCACCACAGGTCCCGCAAAAGAAGATCTGTATAGTATGCGAGCCGAACCGATATTCCTATACAGCATTGTTCGTTCATATTAGCAATTGCTTCAGTGGCTCCAAACGATAGAGTATAAGTATTTGAAGGGTAGCTATAATAGCTGACTCATACCTTGAGCGAATTCGTCCCTTGATAAATTTCAATATGATCCACGAAGGCGAGCAGACTGCCTGCAATGTGGCAATAGCTACCTAAGAGACTTCTTTAGTATAAAAGTCAATTTCGTGTGTATTATGCACCAATGTACATACAGTTGCAAGAGACTACCGTCAATTGTGATAATGGAGACGGGAGTTTCGCAGAGAAACGCACAGCCTTGCAATGACAACTTCCTTCATAGGAGACTTGAGTCGAGAGATGGATAGAATTCTTTTGTTCAAAATCCCTAGATGAAGCCATTGTCGAGACCGCAAGTTTTGCGTTAGAGGTCTCTCACTCTTTGTCGTGCCAAACTTGCGCTGAAGCAAGGTCTAAATTCTTAGAGGCAGCAGACTGGGGAGTTAGAAGGAAGTTAGGAGTGAGTCCTTCTTAGCTGAGATTAAATAAGTATAAAGCACGAGAATATTACATGATTGAGTATAGTCTATTCAACAGCGCTTCAGTTGAGCGATGGTTGGAAGCTGTATCTGAACGTTGAGAGTCTTGTACATCGCTGGTTGGGACTATGGATGGAATTTGCTGTGATGAGCTGAGGCTTTGGTAGTTCAAGGATTAGTGATCTTGCTGTGCACCGAGTGCAAAGCCTTGGCCTCCTCGACTTGTCAGTAACCTAATTGAAGAAACTGATGAGTTATCATTCCCGAGCCGAGGTTCACCTTCAACCTTATTTTGCTACTTCTCATACATTATAGGTCAATAAACTTGAGCATAGATTTAGTGAGGTTGGGAGCCATTGTTCGTTCCACCACTGGTGTAAAAGATTAGTTATTAACTAGCCCAACAGTCCAAAAAAGCATGGATCCATGACCACAAAATCAAATTCAAATCTCAACAATATGTCGTGGGAGGCTTTTCCCCTGGAGCCTCAATCCATATATCTGCGAAGAATCCCACGTTGCATTGATAGTAGCTGATAGGACAGCGACTTTAGCAACAAACATTTCAAGGGTTATGTATGGGGCACATGGTAGTTTCGACAATGCATAGGTATGGTTAAATCCCTATTTGAATGTAGTACTTCGATAAGTGACTATAAAATGAATGGATCATGAACATCAAACTGCAGAGCGAAAAGTTCACCACCCAATCGTCATTCCCGACCCGGATTGGCAAATATCCTCTTACAGACATTGCAGGTCGCACCGTGTAATCCTTCAACTACTGCTCCCTAGACGAACTATGGAACTAAATGATACCTTCAGCAATCCTGCAACATCACCCTTAGAGGCATTGGGAATAGTAAGCATTCTGTGCCTGGCAGCTGTACGGAGACTGGCATTGGGTTGGTCCCGTCCAGCCTATCCCGCCACACTGTCCCCAATGAGTCTGTGTGGGAGAACCGGGGGAAGAACTGGTGGTTGTAGTGGTGGTTGTAGCGGTGGCGGTTGAGACCGAAGTGGTAGAGTGTATGCCGTTGAGAACACTCGCGACAGAGTAGTACGCAGGCTTAGCATTATAACTGCTGTCAAAGAGATCCGGTGTCTCGCTGGAGCGCCAGGAATCCTATTGCGTGTCTCGAATTAGGAAAGATTGCACTGACGATTAATCGCTTTTGCATCCTGCATCAAGAAAGGGAAAGCTAGCATACCCGGTCAGATGCACCCCATGAGGTAATGCCCACGCACTTGGGAACATTCAAGCAAGCTTGCGCGACCTGGAGAGATTGGGGGAGTCAATATCTATTTTGTTGATGGCCTTAGCCACCATAAGAGAGGAGAGGTCAATGCTCACTGCTACATAGTCGCTTGGGGATGCCCCTGCGATGTCCAGCTCGGTAAGGGCGACCTCCTCTGTTCCGGCCGTAGCGAGTAATGCAAGAGCAGTTTAGAGATGTCAGCAGGCCTATACCAATAAATAAGGATCTTAGAATGAGATTTGTTGTAAAAAAGAGAAGAGGAGAACTTATGCTTGGACACCAGAGCCCTGACCCGCACTGCGAAAATGATATTAGTCGTTACTTCTTGCTTGGAGTGTCTGGAATCTACCCACCCCAGATGCGACTCGGATCCTAGAATCAGTGCGTGATCAGTTGAACAGCATCATATGAAGAGGACAGAGATAAGTCGTACCAATGCCATCAATTGGGACCCCCTGCGCGATCCATTGCTTCACCTGATTGACAACTCCGATAGTTTTCGAATATGTGGCGGAGTCGAGGCTATATGTATCATTCAGAACGAACACTCCGTAACAAGAGTAACATCAAAATACTAACTTGTAATCATTCACATAGAGTTTGGCATTTGGATCAGCAGCGCGGGCGGCCTGAAAGGCTATCTTAATGTAGTCAGGGCCAATGACATTATAGAAGCAGTCCTGGCGCAAGCTGCCATCCTCATTGAACGGTTCATTCACAACATCCTGCGAGAATCCAGGTTGGATCAGAAGTAGACTGGAAAAAGAGTAGAGAGCACTCACCCAAGCATAGATCTTGCCCTTGTATCGACTCACGACCGTGTTGATGTGGTTGGTCATGGCATTGGTGAGTGCCGTCTTGTCCGTGATCTGACAGACCCAGCTGGGGATCTGGGCGTGCCACACTGGAGTGGTTTCAAATAAGCACTTCTCACGCTCGACAGCTCCAAGCGGAATTCTATACCTAAGTTATGGCCTCTTATCATCTTCCCGTTCTGTTGAGCCCAGTTAACCAACCAGTCTGCCCCGGAGAAGTCAAAGTTGCCCTGACTAGCTGGATGGTTGTCAGCATCGTTTGTCGGAGTATGTAAAGAGCAGAAAGAGCCACATACGCTCAGTTGCATCCCATTTCATGCTGTTCTCCGGCGTCACTTGTCCAAAGTCGGCTTTATAAATGGCGGGATTCTGGGAATTCTCCGTCAAGCGGCCTTCATCAGCACACTGGCCCCAGAACTTCTTGCCGGCATTCTGTATCAACGTGTTCAGACTCGGAGAAGCCTGACGGCGATGAATGGACGTGGCCAAGGCCAAAGGGAGAAGCAACAACCCAGTCACTAATCGAACCATGTCTATTCTTGATATCAATCTGTAACGAGAAGTCTGAGCTCTGAGAAGAATGATCCCTTGATAAGCTGGTATAAGAAATGGAAGAAAAGATTCCTCTTTGCTCTTTATTTATGTTGGGTACTATAATATTAGCCACCCAGAGGATAAATGAGTTCTTAGGCTAATTCTCAGAATTAATATCGATCGAGAATGTCAAGGTTCAAGCCGTACTCGGTATGGCCGACAACGTCACGTTTACCAAATTGATGCTAAAGAGGCCAGGGAAAAGTGGCTCAAACTTTCCATTGACTGAATGCCTTCTTTTCAAGGAACTATACAAGGAGAATAGACCATCACTATCATAAGAATTCTTCTCTATCCCTCGAAATCCCGAGTTATTTTCTCTCTCTTAAGTTTTCACATGAGCTTCCTGGAATATGATATCCATATGTCATATTACAATCTCAGAAGATGCAAAAGCTTAGCCAGGCGTTCAGCTCACGTTCTCATGCCGAATCCTGGGTGTCTTAACATGAAACTCGGCCTTCTCCTTCCGTGACTAGACAGGGAGACTGAAACGACTAGCCATACGGGGCACTTCCCAGAAGGATTTGATTAGGAAAAATCCCGAGCGGGAAGCGATCCGTACGTCCGTATAATGGTCAGGGTCCGTAATGTATGCTCTGCAGATATATAGCACGGCAATTCTCTTTGTGATCCCATTGCCGAGCAGGTGGAGATGGTACAAACCCTGCAATGTTTAATTCAGGCAGTGTT